TCATGGTCAGTCCATAAACTCCTCTGCATCTTAGTATTCGGTAAATGTTACGATATGTTGAAATTTTAAAGCAAATTTCGATTGTGGCCCAAAGTTATCTGAAGCGAGTGAAAGCAAGGGATTTCCTAATGACGTACAGCCTCGGAAAGCAACGGACGCATTTACTAATTCGTGGGAAGAGTTCGGAGAACTGCCTCTTCTGGGAGATGTTGAGACGTATACACATTCTGGAGTTAATGGGGTTGCTTGTTTATGGCATGGCGACCTTCACATACATTTGAACTGTAAAATGAATCAAATTTTGTTAATATATTTCCAAAAATGAATTTTAAATTATACGTCTAACTTGTTAGCCTACTCATTGAGGCGAAAACGTATTAAGACTAGATTTACACATTTCTACCCTTGTTTGGCAATAGATCAAAGGCAAAACGTATCTTCATTGATTTTTTTTTAGGGGGGGGTTCTGGGTACATCATAAACCGTCGAAACGCGCTTTTTTTTTTTATTTTTTAATTTGTCTGAATTCAATTCCAATGAATTGTTAGCCTCTAAAATGGATGCCAATGCTAGCCATAGAAGAGGGGTTAATGTTTGGCTTGACCTCCTACTTTTAGAAATATAGCTGTGGATTTTGGGATTGTGCGGGGGCGGAGGCCGCAGTGAGTGCGGGGCGCGCCCTGCCCTTTGAACGGGAGGGGGGCTCTGAATAGCCCCCCTCCCCCAACACTGCTTAATCCTGGCCTCGAGTGCGATGGCCGACCCGGCGCCGCCCGCCCCGTCCGTCCCATGTCCTTCGGGGCCTCGTGCTAAGCGAGTGCCTTCGCAGGTTCTCGGCGGAGTTGCGACTGGCGCGAGTTTTTCCCCGACTTCGAACTACATCCCCGAATTTGATTTTCTATAGTGTATGATTACTTCACGGGATGATTTTGCTCAAGTTTTGTGCGTAAGGAAATTATGCATCGTTGTGCAAGTCTTTCGAGGAAAAGTCGGCCAAATGTTTATAGTTTCGCGAAATCGTGAACGTTACACGCTTCGTATGTGGACCTCCCAACATGAAACTGCAAACCGAAATTTAAAAAAATCCGTTGTACGTACGTGTTTAAGCTGCGTTGATTTGGAGTGGAACTCGTGAGTAGGCCGAAGGGAAATTACACCGGATGCGGTCAGGCCTTCCTTTCGATAAGGTTGGCGCCCCTTGGGTGATGTCAGATGGACAGACGGGTGGGCCTAACGCTAATGATTTTTGTTAAAAAATGTTAAGTTCTGCCGACGTGCTTTCCCACATGAGCCCCAAGATTAGCGGCGTGATGACATCTGGATTCGACCTTTCGTCCTTCCCTGGGGTGGATGACGCAAAATAATGCTTTTGAAGTGTGCACACAAACTAGTGGACTGTAAGGAAGATGTAAGGGGGTAAGAAATTGGCGGAAATCTCAAATGTCATGAGAATCCTAGTTTCGAGCCTGGCCGTTGTGTGCCCGATAGAGCTAAAAAAATTGAAGAGGGCGTGGAAACGAAAAATGTGATTCTTTTATTGCACATTGGGGTTTGCTTACTTTATGAAATTGAAATGCTAATCGTTCAGTAACGTAGTCCAAATCTCGATACAAAACGTGATGGGCTGGGCAATATGCATTCATCCTCTACCGTGCAGGACTTCGGACGTTGTAGTAAACTCGATATATCACGCAAGGTCGTAGGCAAGGAGACCGTGGCTGTCTGGAAATTTCGAAAGGAGCCCCGTTGCCATTTTTATGAAACATTTTATTTCCGAAAATATGATCACCTTATTTTTAAGTTGCTATTTTGGGGAATTGATGCACGGTAGTTGCTAAAGAAACGTCTGACAGTTCTGTTCAACTTGAATAAATCATTTAATTTATATTTTCCTCTTGTGTAGTATTTTCATTTATTTCCTAGAAAATATCGCATGGAAGGCAACTGTTTAATGGAGAAAGGTGGTGGGAGACGCAGGTGCCGCCGTCGTGTTTTAGGCCGAGTGCCAGGTGCAGTGCGAAATCCGGTCGCCGCGGCGCCGAGTGCAACCGCAGAGCTTACGAGAGCGTGTGGCAACGGGACATGGTGTCGCGGGTCGATGCCCACCGGCCGGGCTGGCGCCCCCGCCCTGTGGAAACCCCCATGAAGTACGGGAAGGGAGGGGGCGGGGAAATCGATTGCACAAGGTCACTGTCGAGACGCCGCGCCCGTCTGGCGAGCGGGCGGGCGCGTTCACCTCGCCGGCGCGGAGGTGGGGAAATCTGGCCGCCCGCAGGTGGAATTGGCTTCGGACGCTCCACATCTGTTGCCGCTGGGCGGCAAAGGAAATGGACGAATTCGGTAGTGAGGAGGCTAGTGTGAGAGCTGCTTTCAAAGCTTCGGCAAAATAAACGGGATTGGTTTTGTTTCGTATTCTAAAGTTCGCGTTTGGGGTTTACCGCATGTGTCAAGATGGTTAATGTGTGTGTATATGGTGCGGAATTCTGGGAAAATTGATATTTGTAGACTTTAATCTCGCCTCACTTGGAAACAATTGTTTTCGCAGTTTCGTATACATTCCGATAAAGCCCGCCTGGATTTACTCCTTTCTTGGTGAATTCATAGTTGGCAAAATCTCGCGTGCATGGTTGTAAAGGACGTGCAAGCAGCACGTCAGTTATATTTAATTTAGGTGTTTACGGCCCCCCAAAATAACTTCTCATATTTTTGCTCGCGCCATTTTAACGTATGGAGGCTCCATGCCTGCCCCACTCGGGCGGGTTGAGCCACAATGGGACCGTTGTTGCATTGTCAGTGGGAAGCACAAGCGTCCTTTGACGTGGTCTGCGTGAATAGTCAACGGTTTTTCTTTCTTTGCGTAAGCTTCGTCGTAATTGCAAACCGTAAGAGAGCGTTCGAATCTCGCGTGTTACTTGACTTTTTTTTATTCTGTCACGTGCCAGCTGCATCCCCCAGGGAAGGGAGTTGTCAGATTTTTTTCTCTTCACCTGCGGTGTTGGGCCGGGTGGGGTGGGGCGGGGCCGGGCACGACATGCCATTGCAGGCCCCGTTGCGGTAGGTGTGCAGCGCTCCGCTGACGCCGCCGCCGCCGCCGCTGGTCGGTCGGTTGCTTGCCTTATATGGCAGCTGTAACCCATATAGACGCGCGGGCCCCTCCGCCTATCGCTGAGTTATGGGGGCGAAGGACGCAACACGTGCTTTGACGAGCGGGCCGAGCATGGGAACATGAAAACGACACATTGTTACTATAAATTTAGTACCGCAATGTTAAATTCTAATTAGAACTTGTATTTGTGACCATTTTCCTTTTTGTCATCTTGAAGCGGTTATCATTTTCGAAGGGTTAAGGCCATTCATCTCAACGGAAATACTCATTTTAAATTCGTAACGGGGAATTTATTTTCGAAAGCTGTTTTCCCGTGTTCTTATATTGGCAGTGTTTTGAAAATGAGTTATGACACACTCATATTTACATATTTGCTTAGTTTCCTCTGATAAAAATATAAAATACCTTACAGAAACCGTAACTGTAGCTTTCTAAAAGTCTTGAAATTTTCCAATTAAGGTTTTTCCTTAAAGAAATTTTCCTTTTTTTTTCTTTCACGGTCGTCTCTGTCCTGTTCAGAACAACGCGCGACACGTGAGGAGGGGCAGATTAAAATAGACGTCACAGTTTCTCCTGGAACGGGCGCGGACGGTGGCGTAAGCGGAGAGCGAGCGAGTAAGTTGTCCGCCCCGCCCCGGGTTCGATTTCTGTGTAAGGCCTGCCGCCCGCCGGAAACGTTGCGATTGCTGGCGCACTGTCGATATCGCGTCTTCCGGCGACGCGTCCCTAGGCGATGCGCCGTTGGCTCCAGGTGCACACGTGTGCAGGCAGGTGTGGATAATGATGCAACGCGACGGCGGCGCGCCAGTCTGCACGCGGCGAATGATTCACGGCGGAGATAGTTGCAAGTCACGGAGCGCGTTTCTGAAGAATTCCACTCCCAGAAAGGCAGCGGGGCGTCGTTACTCATTCGGCAGTCGTGCGCGCCATGTTTTCCGGAAGGAGGTTAATTGTAAATTGAGATACAATGAACTTCGCTAATGCAGTTGTTTTTGACAACGATCGTGCTCGAGCAAGACCCCTTCAGACGTGATCGACAGCGTAATTGAACTTGTCAATGACGTAATGTGGCATTCAACCTCTTGTACTCTTCATACTGGGCGCGCCCTCGTTTCATATTCGTAAGTTGTCGTAAACAATGGTCATTGTCAACATTGTGTAGAAACAAAAATGCAGGCTCTAAAATTACAGACGTTCGGCGATATGAAGCGATTTGGAAGACAAAAAGTCTGAAAGCGGAAACCTTTCATATTACTTAATTTTGTAGTGTCGTGTTACGAAAATATTCCCAAAACGGCAGTAAGTTGATCCCATGTTTGTCTGAGAAGTTTTCGCGACGCATTTGGTGTAATGTCGGTCATAAAAAAAAAAACACCAGTAGTTTACTATGTTCCCACACAATTAGTTCACAGTTCGCAATATCGAAGTGGTCGTAATGACGCTACGACAGAAATGAAACCTCAAACATCGAGAATTTGACATGAGGACGAGAAACTTTGACCTTGTCCTGTCTAGGCCATCCATAACAGCTCCCTCTCGCAAAATACTAAAATTAATTTGTATCAAATTTAGTCACGTATTTCATTCAGTGGTATGTCTTGTCGGAGTGGGGAAAAAAATTACCGTTCTTGGTCCGTATTAGTTTCATTGGAGCAACGCTTTTGTGCGGTGGGTACGTGTAGCGCGGCGGACACGGGCTTGCCGGAGCATGTTAATCGCAACGGGCTCCGCGCAGCGTCTGCAGTGAGTCACTGCCCTCGAGCGCCCACGATCGATTGTGGCGCGGCCGCCCCGACGCCGCGCCGCGACACCCTCGGGGGCGCGCTCGCACCCCTCGCTCACGTAGATTTCCCGCGGCGCGCCGCCCGCCCTTGGCTCGCCCGCCCGCCGGCCGGTCGAGCGGCGCGGCGTGGCAACCGCGCTCGCGCGCTCTTGGGTTGACTGACTCACGCCCGTGACGCAGCACCGCGCTATTGTCCGCGCTGAAAATGTTGGTCAGAAGGCGAGAGCCCGAGAGGTGTCGCCGACGCCACGTCGGCGCGCGGAAGAAGCGCGAGAAAAGTACCTGTGGCGGCGGATTGGTTATCTCCGCTCCCGCGCTCCCGTCGCCCCACCCGCGGTGTCGCGCGGAGGGCGATAGCGAGGTTGAGAAAGAGTGACGGGGGGCGTCGACGGCGGACCCAGGAATTTGGAGCAGTCGACTCGTCCACTCTCGCTTTCGGCCACCCGAAATCTAGAGTACTATTGTTCGAAAGGGTCACTTTCGATCAACGACAGCCATAAAAGGATTTGTAGTGTATCTTCGTGGCTATTCGCAGAACGCTTATCGTTTCCTGAAGTGGGCTTATTCGTCAGCGTGTCTATAAAACTACACCGATGGCTACATGGGTAGTGCATTCTCTGCTCGGGTCGAAATGGTAAGGTATCGCGATGCGCGCGGGTGGGATGGCGGGTGCTTTGGCACGGCGAGCCCAGTCGAGACGGCGCCTCGGAAATATTGCGCTGTTTCGTAAACTGTAAACGCGTCCAATTGGGCGCAGACGGGAGACCTAGAATGCGGGCGGGCGGTCGCGAGCGTGACCGAAAAATCCGCCGGCTGCCGTCATTCATTGGAAACGCGATCCCGGTCGAGGGGTGGCCTCCGGTGGGGTGGGTGGGGGGCGCTAGACGCCACTTTCTCCTATTAAGGCAGCGAATGCGCGGCGCAGAGGGGCCCGCGTGGCGCGGAGGGGGAGAGCGAGGGTGGCGAGAGCGGGCGCCGCCGCCGCCGCCACAGCCGCAGTGGTGGGGGAGGCCGGAGAGAGAAGTTCACCATATTTGGTAATGCCGTGGGGCGCTGGCGCACCCTCTGTCCTCCCCTCCCCCTCGGCCGGGCGGTCGTGAGGACGGGACGGCAGGTACCTGCAGCGGGATGAGGTGCCCCTCAATCAATACCCACCCGCCCCCGTTTGCCGCAGACCTTGGTTCGATGGGTCGCGGGGTCCCTCGGGGGGTAGGGGAGAAAGTCATGGGCTTCGCCGAAGATTTTAATGGGAAGCCAGGCTCTGCGCGAGATGTTGCAGGGAAAAGGCCTAATCCCTCAAGACACTATGAAATAGAAACAAATTCGTTAGGTACTGAATTTTGCATGTCGTGCCTACGTTATTAACCCCGAAATACAAACTAAGCTTTTGCAATTTTTTTGTTTGTAGAAAAAGAGTAGCGTTTTGATTGACTTCTGGTTAAGATTTTTGAAGCGTGATAACTTTGGTTTATGAGATAGGCATGTGTGCGTTAAAAAGTTAAACAATACAATGAATATAATGAGACTGCATTCATTCTTGTTGTTTTTTATGATTAATTAATATTATTCTATTTTATTTTTCTGTCTTGCAGGCATCCGGTGTCACAGTCTCAGATGTCTGTAAAACAACGTATGAAGAGATAAAGAAGGACAAAAAGCACCGTTATGTAGTTTTTTATATACGGGATGAAAAGCAGATAGATGTTGAAGTCGTAGGTATGTTCCAATGCAGTTCCTACCTGTTAATTCCTAATTTGTTGAACATAAGAAATTAAGCCTGTAGTCTGAAAAAATTGCAATTTCATTTCATAGTTGAAAGAAAAAACTTACTCAATTTTTTAATGTTGCAGGGGAACGCAATGCTCAGTATGACCAATTCCTAGAAGACTTGCAGAAGGGAGGCACTGGTGAGTGCCGATATGGACTGTTTGATTTTGAGTACACGCACCAGTGTCAGGGTACTTCTGAGGTATGTGTTCTTCGAATATTTGTGTTAAAGAAATGTTAAAGTCTTCCCCAAAACCACATCTTATGGAACCTTCTATATCTGTGCAGGCATCCAAGAAACAGAAACTGTTCCTGATGTCCTGGTGCCCAGACACCGCCAAGGTTAAGAAGAAGATGTTGTACTCCTCCAGCTTCGATGCTCTCAAGAAATCTCTTGTGGGCGTTCAAAAGTACATTCAGGTATAACATTTCCAGAATGTTGTATAAAATTCTGTAGCCTATGTAAACACACCATCCTTACCATCTTTTCAAATTACTTCAGTTACCTATATGCTCAACTTTCGTAGGGTTCAAGGAATGTTTTAGCAGAGTATATACTTCCTGACATTTAGATTAGTTTCTTTTTGTATTGAATTGGTTGTGTGATTTGTAACATGGAATTTGGCTGTTTTAATCATTGTTAATTTTTGTGTGAACTATTTCAATAAGATTAGCTTCTAAAAATTTTTGAAAATTAATATTGAATTCCAAAACTGCAGGTGTTGGAATTAACAAATGCCAAACAAAAGTATTAGAAGTTTTTGTTAATAAAACTTAATTACTCTAGTTCTCGACATTCAAAAGAATGTTAAAAAGCCGCACTGGTAGAGACATTAGATGGTGTAAATGTGGAATAATTTAGGGGACTTTTTACACTTCATAATCCTAATGCAGTGTGTAATAAAAAATAGAACAAATCTTCAATTTTTTCTTCTTCAACCCCCCCCTTAAAATCCAAATGTCATTGAATGTTATTTACTTTGAGACTGTACAAAAAGTGTTCACATTTATTTCTTTTTGTTCCAGGCTACGGATTTATCTGAAGCATCCCAAGAGGCAGTTGAAGAGAAACTACGTGCCACAGACAGACAGTAAAACATTGCTCCCTGTTGGCTGGACTGTATCTGTGAGGTCACTTTGCCCAATGGGGGCCTGCGAATCTGTGGGCATCAGTCTAGTCTCGTTGGCTCCCAGGCAACGTTGTTCTCTTGTAATGCAAAAGAATTTTTTCATTAAACTGTATCGTATTATTGAGTGATAAAAAGGAGGAAAACACAAACCATGAATTAAGATTAAGTGAATTTTTTCTGGGAGGGGGGGTAGAGGATTTTCAATTACAAAAATAGTGGTTGGCATGCCTGTAAAGTATCTGTTCATAAGCAATTTGATTCTTGTCAGTGTATTGGGTCAATCAAAATGTCACTTAATTTTTAATATTGTAAGGTGGTATGCAACTGTGCAAAGCTATAATTAAACGTACACTTGAATATTAAAAATTTTGTATTGAATACATTTCTGTAGGAGTTTTTTTTATGTCACCTAATGAGTACGTATTAAATTTATTTCTAATGAATAGGGATGTGTTTGTTTTGAATGAAGTATTTAGTTCCTCATTCAGTTTCATGATTTTGTGATTACCTATTAACCTTACAAGCTTCCATTCATGGATGATTGTTTAATTCAGGTATTATAAAAAAGAACCAAACAACTATTTGAGCAAATAATTTGTGGACTGTATTTTCCATTGTTTGAAGTATGACTTGCATTTCTGTCAAACTTAGGCCTACTTCTTGAAACGGCAGGAGTCAATGTAGAATAGTGTTAGCTGCCACATATTTCAACATGTTCGGTGCTGCTGATGCTATTCAAAGCCTGTTGCTACGAAGACAATTTTTTTTAGTCATAAGGCTTTCTTGTACGCAAGCTGTAAATTAAAGTGGTGTGAATATGTACTGGTACTAACATCAACTGCTTGGTGGTTGTGAGACGAGATTAAAGGGCTCTTGTCTTGAATTGACAAATTTTCTTTATTGAGAACGAGCCCAATGACATTCCTTATGAACATCTAGTTGGCATTCTTTAGGCCCGATTTCACGAAATTTTTTTGCAAAAGTCAACTATTATAATACATTAGAACCTTCACCACCTAACCGCCTGCCTGTACACGATCCTTTAATCATATTAGAGAAGTCGAATTAAAATAGAACGTCCCCAAGCTGAAAACGACATATCTATTTAAAGTCTTTCCAAAGAAAAAACCCGAAGCTGGCATCAGCGCTTCGACAGGTCTGCTCTCTAGTGGTAAGATAGTGTAGTAAACTTTTCTCCGCTAGAGGGTAGCACTGCAGTACAGCATGTCTGGGCGAATATTGTTTTCTCTTAGATGGGCAAGAAGCGGGATTTTATTGTGAAAGATGTTGATTTGGTGATATTTTAGTGAATTACGTTCATTTCTTTGTATGTGAATTCTGTATAGTGTATTTCACTTGTAAACAATAAATTGCTTTCTTGTACGATGTGTTTTTATTTCCAACCGAATTAAACTTCAAGTTTAACACAAGTTTTCGGTATAAACGCGTGACCGCGAACACCGGCGTGAGCATGAAGATGGCACAAGGTAGGTATTATTTCATTGACTGAAGCTGAATTAATAAAATTGTGTGAAGAATTTGAAATAAGCTGCAGTTTAGGCTTAATGACGTCGTGTCACTGGTCAGGTCATGCTGGATGAAATTTAAAATCATGCTATTGAACGTGCTGCCTCTCTTAACGGTCACTTGAGGTTAGGAAGGAAATTAATTTATATCGAGTCGCAGAGATTTAATGATTTTTATTAGAATATGTACGTATTGAAAATATTAGAAAGTGGTGTAAAGAATTGTATTGAATTGCACGTATTGTAAATATTAGAAAGTGGCAGGTAGTCTTTTGAGGTTAAGTTATGGTGAAGTCATGGGGATGCAGTTGAACTTATTCATTGCATGTTATACATGTTGACGACCACTTTCAGGTCACTTAGGATAGTTTGCCAAAGACCCAGTCTATTATTCTATCTTTAGGGTCAATCATCTAGTGAACATTTACTGTGACATTTTTTGCTTTATAAATGTAACATGTTATTGTGAGTGATCAGCCCTGATAATGAATTAATTCATTATGAAACATTACCGAACGATCACAGTATTTATTACCTTGACCAACTTCCCATTTAACCACAAACCTTTAATGTGGTAGTGACATTTTTTCAATGCTCTTGCAGAAACAAAAATGGATATGTGGACTCCTTTCAAGGATCTGCAAACGTTTATAGAAGAAGTGGTGTCAAAACCTGTTCATGGTGTGCTAAAGACAGTAGAAGAAATGCTGCGTAACCACAAACAAAATTTTATTACTCTTCTGAAGAATCCTGTAAGCATTCCAAAATGGATTTGATTGTATATTCGGCTTATGTTAATGGGCATTTTGAATACTTGCATAATTTTGTTTAGGCAAAAAATGCCCAGCAACGGGAAGAATTGAAGAAAGCGCTGGCAGAAGGTACACCATTACCTGGTCTCAGGCATCAACTGCTTACAAAGGAATTAGTTGATGAAACTATAATTATATCTGACATGTATGAATTGAATGAGTACATGGCATTTGATTTGCTGTGCACAGGTGAGAAAGATTTAGTTGCTGAATTTATTGAAATGAATAATGCATTGTCCAAGTTAATGTCAGCACTTGAGCTTGCTATTTTTAAGATGCGAGTATAATATTGTTTGGTTGTATCATGATTGTTGAAGTTTCACTAGATCAGATAATTGAAACCAACGGGATAGCTTTTACAAGCGGGTTTACAATATTGTAATAAAGTTGCAAATCTCTTGTTTGTATTGTAAATTAAGGTATCACACCTAATTGATTTTATACTTAGCAATGCTCATTTCCATGAAATAGTGTCTGTGAAAAGTCAAGTTCCTGTGAAACGTGATCATTGAATTGTAATTGGTATTTCACTATATAACACATCACTTCATTAATTTTTTTCCTGTAGTCTTACTGTAACAATCTTTTTGCAGATCTATAATGAATCCCTTTATGTTCGCTCAATTATATGTAGTATGACGATCATGGACCATCTGTGATAATTCAATGAAATATCTTCGTCTTGTTCATTGATCAGGCAAAATTGTTTTCCTCTTTTATGAACGATTGCATTGTTGAAGCTTTGTATTTTGGAAGTAATAATTTATAATATTAAGATTTAGAAAAGTAGTATTTTATATCTTCTGCATATTAAGTTGAAATAATTTCTATATGTTATAATAATTAAGTTAATAATTCTATGGGCTGAAATGTAGTATACGGTACAACCTAAGGAAGTCGTTTAAACCGGCACTTTGTGCCATTCTGGCGTTAACTAGGCAGTTAGAATTCTGGAGGCTTTCTTGAAAAGTACTTTCTTATAAAAGTGAATTGATAATTATGCATTGGATAGACTCGAGGATGCTTGTAGTGAATGCGAGTGTCGAAGGTTTGAGCCCTGCCTTGACTTGCGAAGCGAGAAAACTTGCCTTTGAAAGTAAATTGGCGTTACAATGCGGCGGGGACAAAGCATATAAAGGGAGAACCAATCTCCAATTCATAAGTTTAATTTATTTCTATTAGAGCATGTACAGTAATTAGGGCTTAAGCCCCGCTGCCACGTTTCTCTAAGGGTGTACCGTATACTAAATTTAACCATTCTATGATATTACTGTAATATGAATGACGAAACATAAGTAGGCTGCTATTCTTATTGTTTGTACTTACTAGATTGAGCTGATCTCATTGCTTTGAGTAATTCTCTCATTCCAGAAATTTATTAATTAACTAGAAATTTATGATATTTTTAATGTTGGTGATTAAGAGGTTTAAATCTAAATAACTTATGAAACATTGGGAGAGTAAGTTAGTAAAAGTATTTGTGTGCAATAATAGTAATTTATTATATAGATAGAGATGAATGAATGATATTATTTATTGAGTTGAATAGGATTGTGGATATTTTCTCCATAAGGCAATGTTAGAGGCTGAGAAGGTTAATTCTTACAATTCTTACTTGACACATATAATTTCTTTCATTACCAATGTCTAAACAAATTTGAGAAAGTTTGGATGAAATGTCTAAGTATTGCGTGAATACTCAAATGAAACCTATTTCTAGTGGTTTGAATATGATTGTTGTGAAGGCTGCAGAAACAAAATGACCAATTGTAAAATATGTGAATTGTATCAGCAATAAAATAAACTTTTCATATGTGAATTAACATTTTTTAATTCATTAGAGAATGAAATTGTTTTGTCCAGAACAATAAAATTAATGAAAATGATTTACTTAGTTAATTGATTTACTTTCTTTTGAACAAATTGTATTTTTACTTGTTTGATAATATGCTAAGCACGGAAGTTGGTGAGAAAGTGTGCTTTGTTCGCAGCTCAGCAGCAAATGCCACATCATCCAGGCCTACCAAGAGGCTTAGTAGCGGTCCTCCTCTACTATGATGGTCGCAAATCTCTTGTATATGCTCTCAAAGCCCTTGTACAAGCACGCAAAGGTATATCATGGGTTGTTAATGCCTCAGAAGACCTAGTGCGCTATATCACATGGTTCACTAAAGATCTTATGGATCAAGCAGTACTGTCTCGAATCATTGGTAAGAACCTCATTTCTATGCACGAAACCAGTTTTGAAGTTTGTATTTAAAATTATTTGATAATGTTTTCTTTCACACTAGTTTATTAATAGCTCAAATGAGCTTTATAATTAATTCATGTGTATGTTAATGATTGGTGCATCCACTATAGGTCTGCTTGAAACATTGGATTTGACGAAAGAAATTGACTTGTTGCACCAAAATCGTGCGATAGGTGGGCCACGCCACCATAGACAAGTTGTTGATTTGTATCAGAGTATTCGTCAGGGACTTGCAGATATAATTTATTGTTGGTCTGCTCAATGTGGTCTGCCAAAGACACCTACGTTCAAGTAAGTTAAACGTTCAAAAAGGAAATATGAGTATTTTCACTTCTTTTTTATAATAGTCACATATCTAAAGAGGGGAGAGGTGGTGTCCATATGAGTCCCGCCCCCCATCTCTATGTTAGGAGTTACAGAGGTCACTGAATTGTTAGACTAAATGTTTTTTCTGACTTACCAGATTATGAGTCCTTAGAAGCACAGGAGAAAAGTAACTGTTCGAAGTGTATTGTTTGTTACTTTAATGGAAATGTATACTTTGTTAATGGTACACAGAGACCGTAAAAAGCAATGGTTCCCTCACATAAATGAGTCTTTTGAAAAACAACAACAACAACAACAACATTCATATTGTTTCACAGTTATGCTCCATACCACAATGGGAAAGAAACTTGGAAAACATCATCATGACGTTGGTCAGTTTGGGTTCCAATGGGCTGCAAGTAGCCCTGACATGAATTCCATCAAAAATTGCTGTTCGATAGTTAAAAGAAACTTCAGAAAAGAAGGCCATAGAAACCAGCTCATAAACCAACTTACTCGTATTTGGTTAAAATGACCCTTAAATTGCAAGAATGCATTAAAAATTGGTTTTTTAATGTACCTGAAAACAAATATTTTAATTATGAAATGTTTTTAAAACATTAGAGCCCTGTACACAAAGTTTGTCAATATCTATTGTTGCAAATACATTTTTGTCTTATTCAATAACTGTAGTCTAATAAATTGGCCACCTCTGTAAGTACCATCATTTTTCACCACTTTTATTATTTAAACCTTTCTGAACCTTTTGTGTCTTTGAATGCTTATCAGGTGCTTACAAAAAAATTCAAAACCTTTGCCATGCATAATTGCTTTGTATTTTTTCGTTCAGCCAGGCATGTCCTTAAACACTTTATTTTAACACAAATATGGAGAAAATGTTATATGTTGCTAAATACATCTATCATTATAAATAAAATGTTTCTCCAGTTGTATTGCAAATTATTCTGAGGTTTATTGTTGATGCCCCCATCCCATTATCTGTGTTCTCTGGGTAAAAGAATGGAATTGGTATGCAACAGTTGAATAGTTTATTTCAGAAACCCGTCAAACGCCAAATTCTTTATTTCGAGAAATCTGATAATAAGTTTTGCAATTTTTCAGATGTCAAATTATTCTTTTTATTAAATGAGTAAATAAATAAATATTTTTCATATAAATGTGCACTAAACAATGTGTCTATCCTCCTGGAACAATAATCCGTCACTAAAGTCTGTTTTACATTTTGGCGTTTGATGGGTTTCTCAAATAAATGATTAAATTAAGCTGTAGGATCTGCATGAGTAGTGAATTTAAATCTTTGCTTTTTACTCTGTTGAAAACTTTATCAACACTTGATTGGCAGGTTAATAAATTACCTCAAGTCATTGAAAATGGAAGAAGACGCTTTGGGAAACATGGACAACATCAGTGTTACAACTCAAATGGCTCTGCTCTATGCTTTGGACCTGAGTGTTCTACATACTAAAGAAGATGGTGAAGGTAACTCAGTGCTTAAGGGGTGCTAGGAATGTTTGGTACTAAATTATCTCCTGTATTATTTTAGTAGTACAGATACCTTTTGTGGCTCTCACACACAACCAATCTTTATAAATGATTTCTTTAAAGAAAGAGAGTTTCACAGAGGCGTGATAAATTGCATTTTGCCTTCAAAAATATGAAAAATTTGATTTATAAAACGTATCTAAATAGTCATGTCAAATGCAACCCGCAACACTCCACTGAATTTTCAAAATCAATATAGTTAAATAACTGCTAAACAAATCGTACAAGGAATTAAAACTTGAAAATTTGGAGGCCAAAGGCTTCAAAGAAACATTCTGCAGAATTTACAGAATGCGATAATCACTTCTCAATACTACCTCACCTGTTGAGAGACCTGCAAAATCTACAATGCTATGTAAAATTAAACTAATTACTGATATTCTAAGTGATTAAATTGTAAGGCCGTACTTCTCAGTTCGATAATAAAGTTGAATAATATTCTAAACAGCACGGTTGTGTTTGTCTGATCCTGTAGTTTCACATGGATATCTATGTAGCTTTTTCATGAGTAAAAAAGCTTTTGTAATATTTTTGTGGCCATCAAGGAAAGTAAAAATCTAACTATCAAGGAACATGTGCATTCAAATGTTGTTTTAAAGGAAGTGTTGTGAATTGTTCCAAGAACATGTCTGTAATACAGAATAAACCTTTATTCAAAATATGTTTCAAACATAAATTACCATGTTCTTTATTTTTATTTTAAATTCTATACATACATTGGAAGTTACCTTATTAAATTTTTTAAACAAATAAACAAGTTTTCTTAAGAACTTCCCCTTTTCATATGGGAAAGGAAAGATAGGGAAGAAGGTGGAATTTAACATGCAAGAGTTCTTGCACAGATGTGCTAGTATAAATATATTAATTGATTTAATTTTATTTACTATTTTCTTTTTTTATAAATAGTTTTTTAATAAATATTTAGTATTCATATATTAAGTAGTAGTAATTGTAAGAATATTGAACACAATAATTTCTTTACAGAAAGTTTCCTCCTGTGAATGCCATAGAGGGAGCAAATATTAGATAATGTAATTCCCTAGAACTGAGATAAAGGTTTTAGTAGATATATATTAGTTGAAAGTGTATTGGAAATGTGATTTTCTTAGAAATGAAAGAATGATTTTGTTTTGTTTTTATTTTTTTTTGGTATTTATTATATTTTTTAATTTATGTATTGTCTGGAAACATTACAATTGAAGTCCTTTCCAGTTGACACAGTGTTTTCTGAATAAACCAGCATTTTAAAAAATTTTTGTCCTTTGAAACCAGACTTTTGCCTCAGCTGAAAAGATAATGCAATTCTATCAATAATTCACAATTTGTTTCCACCTAAAATTACGTGTCATAAATGAGCCTAAATTTCAAATGTCATACTATTAAATTTTACATGTAAAATCTGTATTGTAGTTATGATTGTCAAAGTATGTACTAATGCTTTTGAATTTCGGTTCATGAATTGATGGGCTGTATAATTTGCGAAATTACCTGTTTTGTATATATATGTACAAATCCATTTCATTGAGGGTTTCGATTGTGAACCTTAAATTAGAATAAGAAATGTAATCGGTAAGTGCATCAGATGAGAATAAAATGCCTTCACACTTTCTTCATTAAACAGAATTGTCAGCAAATGGAATGCTTCATCCACAGAAATTGTTGACTTCAGTATTATGCAATGGTGCAAACTCTGTGCGATCTTTTCTTATGAATAGTTGTGTGAAATCCCTATGTACTGCTTATATTTATTACCAAGGTTGACTGAATAGATGTTACAAACTTTTAGGGAATGCAGTCCTATACTTTCATTTCGACTGTGCACAGGATATGAAATGACATTGCTTAAAAGGGAATATTGTGTCATTTGGCATTTGTTTCTAATTAAGGAATCCTATATGCACAGATGTTGGGCTGGCACATGAAATATTGCCTGAGTGACCTACTGAAAATCTGTTCATAAGGGCTTTGCTAAAAATCAGAGGAAATGTCACATGAAATAAGTACTTAGGAGTGTCCAAACGACATTTAATATAAGTTTGTAAACTTGTGTATGTATACACTAGTTTTGTTTCTGGTAATACGTTTGCATGTTTATTCATTATTGCTTATTCAAATCACTTATCTTGTGTTCATGTCACAAGCGCATTCTGTTGGTTTTCTGCTCATAAAGGGAGCAATTTCAAATATCACATGTATAACTGCTTTGTATGAAAGTTCACGCTGTATATTCAGTGGCAAAAAAATATTACTATTGATCCTGCTATATGCCTTAGAAGTTTGTAACTATTATCATGAGACCCTCTGAATGTATCTTCATGGGTTCATCCATGAAAAACTATGATGAGAGTGAAAAAGGGAAAGTGGAGGACAGCAGCGTGTACCAGTGTTTGAGCACTGAGGTAGTATTTGGTGCTTGTAGATGTTGTGAAGAGCCTGCCCCTGCTGGCAGAGCAAGACTTCCTGCTGTCGCTCCTGAAGGAGTTCCAGCCCACGGAGAAGACGTGGGAGACCCCGGGGCTGCAAGGCCTGGCTCACCTCACGTGGGCGTTGGCTCTGGCCACTCTGCGCAATGCTCCAGCCGCCCTTCACTCCCTCAGTGAGTGCATTTGCATGTGGTTGCAGATTGGTGGCAAGATTAATGTTTTCATGCTCCCCTGTTTGTACCATTTAATCATGAAGTAAAACTGGTGCTGAACAAAGCCACAAAAAATTGTTTTCCAAAATGTAACCTACTCACTGCTCAAAAGCAACAAAGCATTCAAGTAAATATTTTAACAAAATTAATCTTCAGAAATACTGTGAGAACGTAGTGTAGTATTCACGGTTAAACAGTATAAAAGTTCTTTAGGTATCGAGTGTAACAAAAATGTTTCTGTTTTATAAAGCAACTTGTGAGTAGCAAATATTTAATGGCAGAGGTCCTCTTCCTTGGAAACTTGGTGTCACATGAAATCATCTGTTTTGTAAGCTGTGACACACTGAATAGGAGACCTCAGTCAGTGCTAACAATATGAGAGTAGGTTTAATAACATTAACGAATATTTGAATTTCTCTGTCAAAATCAACTATTTTATTGTTATTGTATTTTTCCTGTGTTCTTGGGTATCTGATGAAACTTTAGACGTACACCTCTCATGTGCCAGAGGCTGTATAGTTTTCTTTCAATTTTTGTGCACATTAAAAATTAGTAATATGGATCTTTTTGTATTTTTCTTGAGTTCGTGGGAATCAAAAAACACAAATTTCCTCTGATCACCTGGAAGCGGTTTTGTTTTCTTTCAATTCTGACATGCATGAGAAATAATAATATTATAGATTATTTTCTTTCCTATGAATGAATTGTATGCAGCACCATAGTAATTGCCTGAACAAGGACTGATTGAAAAGTGTGAAAAGTTTTTCTCTTGTGGTGGTCACCTATGAACTGACTGAGTAAAATCAACTTATCTCCATTCACTTGAGGGGGAGTCTTGGGTACTCTAAAAATGTTGTGATAGTTCTGTGAAAAGCAGAAAACATTTGTTATAGATATTACTGATGAAGATGAACTGCTGGTGGATTCTGCCAATGAATTGAATGTGTTTGACTTCTTGCATCGATCACTTCTTCAAAATCAGCTTGTTTACACTGAGGTTTGACCTGATTCCTCTTGTATTAATTATTTGTAATTTTTAAAAAAATTTCTTTTGCCAAAATAAATTGTTTTTCACTCAAATTAATAATTTCAGGAATTCTATCTCCGCCGTCTTCACACCCTTATTACTGACTTCATAGTTTATATGCCTATGAAAGTGAAGGAAATGAAGAGCAGGTCCGATGAGTCTGCTCGGACTATTCAAACTTATATGCAGGTAAACATTTTTTCTTCTTTGCTCTTTTTCTGTTATTGGGTTGCCAGATTGCCACAATAAGAGCAGGTGAATATGAACATGGGTTGCAAGGTATAAAGACCCTAGGTGAACTGTGTTCAGAATCCATTGGAGTTATTTTCTGACTTTTGTTCATCAGTGTGTCAGTGGATTCCCATCTTTTCTAACTAACATTCCTTGTATAACTCTTGTTGTAAGAATTTTTTGATTTTTAATATATTGTCATGATTTTTATTATCTTTAGGCATAGAAATAGAATTCTACATGTTTGTGGTTTACAAAAAAATGTTTGAAGGGTGAAAATATTAATCTTTTGAAGTAGCTTCTCAATGAGTGAAGAATAGTTGTAATGGAAGATTTTTTAAAATTATACCTTTGTGTTTAATATGTCTGACACACAATTTCAATTTTTCTTCACTTGAAATTACTTCACGGCAGTGGATTCTAATTTCCTGGCGTTTTATCCTGTGTGCAGGAGGGCTTGGAGCCTCCACAAGACCTGCCTCACCACTTTGAGCACCTCCTGCTCTCTGTGGCTCAGTTGTACGAGCAAGATCCTTTGAAGTTGGAGTTGTCGTTGCAGTACTGGTGCCCCACAGAGTCCCTTACGAGCGAGCGTTTCCTCTATCGCACACCCCCACGTCAGGTGAGTAAACACCATATTTACTTCATTATGTAGATAGAATAACATTCATCTTGTAGACAAGTACAAAAAGAAAAGAAAAAAACAAACATGAACATCTGATCAGATTCCTGTATTACACATTTTCTGGCATCCATCAAGTTATCAATGAATTTCAATCAAATTTCTTATATTGCTATGTTTGGTTTACGTCTTCAAGATCACAGTAACTATTGCATTACCAGTCAAATTGCAATTCTTTTGTTCTATTAAGCTTACATTTCTTTAGATGTGATAATTTTAAAAATATGAAATGTCATGATATTTTTCATTGTGTCTAGTAGTATATTAATAGTATTAACACTTGGATATTACATTATTTTTTCTTTAATACTAATTTTGGTTTTTAAATGCATTATTTTTCTCATATCAATGTAGTTAAATGACTAGAGAATGTGTGAGCAAAGTTTTTTTGTCAGTTGGAGGGCTGAATTTTGAATGTGGTTCAACTGCATGATCACTGACCCAGTACAAGAATTTTTTTTCTTAGAATTAGTAATTTGATTGTTGACAATAAGGGACATTTTGGGGGGAAATGTGATTATGCTGTCTATATCTAGTGTTTTCTTTGATTTTAGGTAGCGCTCTTCAAGTTCATCCGCCTAGGCGGAGATATTTTGCCACCTGCAGTGTTTGTTCCGTACATGAAGATGTTGCGCAGCCTTGCCTCTTCTCCTAGAGCAGCACGCAATGCCTTTAACTTCCTCAAGCAGAATGGCAATGGCACAGTCTCCTGGACACATTTCTTCAAGTCTCTTGAAAAGTTAGTACGAATTAATTATTTTGGTCTGGCTATTCTTAATTTGAATGACTTTATGGAAAACCAAACTCGAGTATGGTTTCCTTTCTGACCTTCATACTTGAAAGTTGTGTCTTGTTTAAAGCTTAATGGTAATTTTCACAAATTCATTTGCAAAATGTGTATGTCTTTCTCAGCAGTTTCTTTAGACAAATTCAGTTTTTCCACGAAAGAAAACTGATGGAAAAATGGCACACAACCTCCCTATCCTTGCTCATCCCTGTGCGTGAAATGATTACGTACTGATTTTCCAAGATTTTCCTAGTGTTTACTTATCTTCCCAGCATTTCCTTTCCAATAAAAGTATAAGGTTATTCATGCCATATGAAGTAAATGCTTTTACTACTTCTTTCAGACTTGAAGTAAATACTAAGTTTTTATTGACACCACTCAGCTTCAGGTAAAAAGAAAACATACTGTGTATTGATTTTGTTATTTTAATTTTTTGCAGGTATTACAGTAATCTTCGTCAGGAACTCCCTCCTACAACTGATACAGTGTACCAACCTCGAAGCTTTCCAAGAGGTATCTTGCCACAAGAGATTCATGGTCTGCAGGCTGTTTTAGGAGTGGTGCGAGCAGTAGCTGGTGAGTATACTCAATGAGGTAACCATATGAGTAATATTTAGTTTGGAAAATCATGAAATCTAAAATACTTATAGGAACAAAAGTCCTTTGCATGTTTAGACTTAGACTTGTTAATTACTTTCCCTTAGTTGATCCTTCACATTGTTTACAAGTGAAACTAATTCCAGAACAAACTTTGGTAAAGTACTGATGCCTAAATGCTCGGTTCTAGTACTTATCATACAGGGGTCTTCTGGTCATTTGTGAGAATGGAACATGTGGTCTGCGGAAATTTTACTCTGTATTAGGGGTTTATTTAATAGAAGAGTAATTCTACTCATTGATTTAGAATTAATTTCTAGTTGTTAGTTAATTTTTCTGTTTTTAATATTTCTCATAGACTTAAAAAATTCATACAATTCACAATGTATGGAAAAGCAGAATAGTGAAAGTGGATGATGTAAAAATTCACAAAATACATGGGGTTAAAAAGCTGTAATACACAGTTCACATAAATTGTTTTAGTGTTCAGGATCTTAGATATGACAAGTGATGCTGCTCTGTCCATTCCATTGGAAACATTGTGAGGCTTAGCGTTGCTGAATGCCTGACGTCCAGAACGGTTGTAAGAGTGATTTTTATGGTGGGGTCCTGCCCTTGCTTTAATTTTCTTGTGACGATTTTCTATGTAAAGCATGTATTGATTTTCCTTTCAGAGCATGACCCTGTGTCTCGTGTGGCACTTAGTGACAGCCCACAATGGGCCCCCATGAACATCTTGTTGGGCCTGGTGGCCTGTGCTGTCCCCATTCCTCTCAAAGCTGAGCTTTTGTTGACGCTGGCTGCTCTAGCCAAGTCCGCTGGTCCTGCCACCGCTCTCTGGTACAGCCTAGAAGCCTCCCAGATTCTGAGCACTGTTCCCAGCACAAGCAGCTACCAACCGCGAGGGGTGCAGGTAAGATGGCTTATACTTTCTCTAGCTACAATTATTTTGATTGCCACCATGTACAGTTATTATATCACCTTATTGAGTAAGCAAATACTTTGGAAATTATCTTGACACAATATGAGTCACACTTAACTATGATCGTGTTCATCTTTCACCCTTGACCATGTTGATCCGTGCATCTTGTAACAAAATATTGGCGACAAATTTTATTCATTTTCACTTACTACAATGTCATTCATTTGAGATTCTTTCTCCAGCCCATACAAAAATATTGGTTGGAATCACCTGGCAAATTCAGGGTGAATGCCAACAATTCATCTGCGAAAGTATTAATAGATTCACGTAATATTGTTTATTTTTACTATCATTATTCAAGTTTATTCATAGCGTGGAAATGCAGCGTAAAAATGTAAATCCTAACTGGCCAAACTTAATGTGTGAATTTAAAACGATCCCTTATTTTTGGTCTTATTTTCAGGTAAATACGGCATTCTATTTTTGATCCTAAACTAGAACATTACAATTTAACCTACCTACAATTTTTTTTACTAAAAGTATTGGCCAGTTTGTTTAGGTTGGCCATTCTTTGTGAGAGTGCTCCCAAGTTGACATCACTAGATGGTATATAATAAAATTTTAGGTTTACTGTTTAGGTTTATTTCATTTAATAACTTAATCATCTCTTAAATGTTTCTCTAAAGTTCCAAAATTATATTCTTTAGTGATTGTGAAAATGGTCTTGCTAGTATAGTATCTTCTGTATGTAGCAAAATATTGTTTTTCTCATTATAAACTAGCTAATTATCAGGCATTTCTAAGGTATTATTATCAGTCCCATCTCCCACTTGGCTTGCTCCACATATGTGCCCTCAGGCAAACCTCTCCTTACATTTTAAATTATATAGGCAAACCTCCTCTATATTTCTTTAATGCTTTTTCAAGTGTTCATGCAAAATTTGAGAGTAATTTCTCCTAATGTTCTGAAGTGTTTTTTCTAATCACAGAACTCTCACATACTTCATATTACTCATTCTCTCTCTGTTTCACACACACACATACTTTCCTTGTCTCTCTCACACACACACATTTTTATTTTTATATATTAAGATTGCATTTCTTATTGCAGACTGAACTTGAGGAAATTGAGTCTCGGAATGAGGAATTCCCTCTTACGAGAGCGCTGTTGCATCTGCTGAATGTGCTAACAGATGTGCCAGTGCCCCGGCTGCTTGGGGTTGAAGCTAGGTCACCAGGCTTTGACCCATATCTCAACTTCATTGTGAATTCTGTGTTCTTGCGGTTTAACACTCGCAGTTACAAGAACCCTGAAGAAAAGGTATCTTTACTTACCATGCATTATTACCATGCATGCATTATTTACCACTTTTCAATTGTTTATTTCATGTTGTCAGAACACTAAGATTCCTTGATGTGAAAGCATGGTTGTGTTTTTTGTTTCATTCAGTTAATAGTTTTTTAATAAACAAATGTCTATTCTCAAAATAGCAGAATGGTTTTAAAAATGAAATATAAATGGTTGTACAGGCGAAGTGATATTCCTTCAAACTGTGCTTTGAGTTTGGGATATTTCAAAACCATTTATTATTTATCAACAGAATCTGGCCCATATACATTGATCCTTTAATAACCATTGATCCTTTTAAAAGGGAAGTAATTTGATTTAACCTTACTAGTATTGCAAAGTGATTTCTTTCTTTGCTTTTCTACCTTTTCTTTCACTTTTTTTGTTTGTTTGTTTTCTTCTGTTCAATAACTTTTATTCAGTGTAATGATTCCTCTCTCCCCCCTCCTCCCATGTACATCACAAAGAGGTGGTTTCACCAAACAAAGAGTAAGAGTTTACTCTGGAGTAAATAATGTTTTCTCAAGTGTAAATCGCTTACACAAGAGTAACTTTACACTGCAAAAGTCCTTCGGGTAAAGTACTGAGTAAGCTGAGTTGTCAATATGCATGTACCTCCGAAGTGTTGTTATGGCTCGACGATTACGAATGATAGTATTTGATGACAATTCCAGCAATGATTCGGAATATTATTCACTAGTGCAAAGACAAAGGGTGCAGGAGAGAATGTATTGATTTTAATTATGACAATTGAGATTTTGTCACGAGGTTGTGTTTGACAAAATCAGCTGTTAACTTCATCAGATACATTGTGAACTGTAGAGAACTTGTAAATTTCTTTTTTTACTTATGTGGATACGAAATAAAGGTAGTACGTACTGTGAACAATGACAAAAGGGAAAATAATAACTACAGGGACTACAAGTACTAAGAAATATTTGTTTATTTTATAAAAACTCTTTGTGACATAAGGGGGAGATCCATTTGCGCACGTTTTCTTGATTTCCAAGAATCCCTTTCCATCATTTTACCTACAAATAGTTGAAAGGTTAAGAAAAGTATAAAAAATAACACAAACAATAAATAGTAGTAGTAATAATAACAATAAAATTTAGAAAAACGTGAGATGAGCAACATTTGAAAAAGTAAACTTTTTCGTTCCAGAGTTGTAGAAAATGTATTTGCATCGCCATCGGTAAACGAACTGCGAATTTAATTTTTTGCATTGCTAAGAAAGTAGTAACTCCTTTCCAGAGAAGAAGAATGAATATTTATTAAGTAATAAAGATACAAAAACTAAGAAATAAACTCTGCTAACTGAAATCACCATAACACCACCAAGAACTCCAAAACTGAAATGAATGATAAATTATAAGGAATTAATTAAAGGTTCGTGTTTTGTCTGCAGTGGTTCCCAGTTCCACTCTCGCTCATAGCCTCTTGAATCACTTTCACATATTACATGTTCAGCTGATTCTCAGAGTAAATAGTGTGGACTCTAGAGTAAGAGAGTGTGGATTCTAGAGTAAAATAACCCTCTAACCCTCTTGAACAGTAGCTCATATGATCTACAGAGAACTTTTATCAGTAATAAGCAAATCTAACTAGTTACTGAACTCACTAGCTTCAGATATCACCAAGCTGACTCTTCTCCACCTTATCCTTTCAAACAATGAAATGTTGATTATACCCCCTCAATATTTTCCACCTAAACCTTTTTGTGACCACTTACCTTCTCTATCACAAGTACTGTTTTTATCTTTATTCTTATTTATAAGGGTAATTTACTGGCAATTAAGTATTTACATCTGATATAGCCTGAATCAGTGCTTATATAATTATCATTTTATATTTAACATATCGCTATATTTCATATTATATTTACGGGTTATTACCAAGGCAAGAATAAGGAAATAAATATAAGAAGTTGAGGGCAAACTAGAGTTGATTTCATACCGCAACAACGAAATTAAAATCTCAGTGAAAAGTTGGTAATCATTATGCCAAACAGGGTAAAGTTGTTGATTAAGATCAAAGTAAGTATTAAAGGTATGAATGTAAAAGTATAATAAATGCAACTCTTTTATGAAAAAGGTCTTTAGTGTAATTGAACACGTCTGTAGCGTTGAAGGCTTTATGAAGTATGAATATAGCCTGAAACTAGAGCATAGAAACTATTTTAATATAATATGTAAAAATATATGAATACCTGATTAGAGTTACTAAAAATGTGCATGTTCACCTGTCTGCTGCATGTGATGAAAACCCTGCCTCTAACTTTCTTGCATGGAGTCATGTATTGAGTGATTAAGTAATTGTTTTTTGCTTGCAGTGGGATGTGGCCCATAAGTGTTTGAAGCTATTGAAGAAGTTCCTTGCGCAATACAACCCTGACATAATGGACTTCACAGCTCAGCGTGTGGAGTTGCAGAGTGGAGGCACGGCGCAGGTGAATCCAGTGCCAGGCTACCACATCATGGTCAATCTCAACTCCAAGACTGAACTGTTGCGTCTTGTAAGTACAAGTATTATATTTCATTCTCATGAAATGAATTTTTTCATGGAGTGTCAAGTTTTTTGGTTACAAATTCCAGAATGTAGAGTTACACTTCCTGAAAATATTTATCAGTACATGAATAACTGTGTTTTAAATTTCAAATCGTTGAAGGAAGCGCTCTGATTTCATAATCATATGTTGGAGGAAAGTGATAAATACAAGCAGGAGATAGAAATTAAAGATGCAATGTTTTGCAATTTTATTGATTATTATAAGAATTATAATGAAGGGTATGATGTATGAAATGCCTTCACTCAATGGATAATAGATTAATTTATGAGGAAGGACAGAGGAGATTTTTCCATTTACAGAACTATTCCAGCTATACTGCAAAAACTTACTTGTGTGCTAAAATTTTTAATGACATATTACCTTCTCCATAAGCAATGGTTATTTCAACATGGTCTCATCCCACATTCAGAATCAGTGATGGTTGACATTCTTTGAGAATGATAATCTAACACACGTGTGTAATTTTGTGCAGTATAAACTCTGAAAAAAATTTTATTTGGTCTATACCTGTGGTATATGTACACAGGTGCTACACTTCGTGTGTTTTGTGAGTGTGCATTCGTGCAGGTGTTACCTTGTATTCTGAAAAGAATAAACAGCTATTTTTGTGTGCAGGTGCTGCACCTGGTGGATGAAGGCGTGCACCTGCTGGACAACTGCACGCAGGTGCCGGGGCAGGCTGCACTGGAGGGCAGCATGCTCAATTGCCTGCTGCTGTTGCAGCATGCCCTGGCTTTGCAGGGTCGCTTCTTTGAGTTGCTGGCCAGCTCGGGCAACTCCCTCCTCCTCACAGGGCTGCGCCGGCTGTTGCTGGATGTCAACCCGCGTTCTGGCAAGCCAGATCACTTGCTCAATATTGCCAAGTATGTTGGTCCTTGGAATCCTTGACAGCAGAATGCCATTTTGAAATGGCGTTTTCGTTTCACATCTATTCACAGGGAGTTATACTGAACGTCAGAGATTTTCCTTTGTGCTCTAGCATGTCATGTGGAAGTGGGACATCACTAAAGCAGTGTACTAAGCTTGCTCTCTGCCACTGCCTGCACACTGCTTCATTCTGTTCACCCAAATTTGAAAGCTACCATGCTTAACTTAAGCTCTGCATTCAAGTTTCAATGCATGATAAATTTGAACAAAGTAAATGTAAATGTATATCATTTTGTGATTATTTATGATAATAATGTTTTAAGAAAAACACATATTACTAAGGTTCTGAAACTGATTTCGTCTTAAAGGAGTACTGAACACTGATGAATGTGAAAATTGAATTGACACTTCTATTAAATTGAATTCCAATCTTAATCCTGATTCTGCAATCTGTGTTTCTGAGTGTTGTGATACGTGGAAAGCTGTGGGAAGAGTATGAAAGTTATTAGTAGATCTATGTAATTTCATGGTTTCTGAAAAAAAACAATTTCTTCATCGTATACAAACAGTTGTTCATGACACATATTATCATAATTATGTATAACCTCAATATTTTACATAACAATACTTATACTTCAAGTTGTTTAATGTGGTGCTTAACATAAATCAGCTGTTGACATTGTCAGCCAATCTGGAGCTTCAATGTCACCGCTGTCACCTCACCATAATGATGTTCAACCTCCTGATTTGATGACAGTGTAACAGCTGATTTATGTCAAACACCACATTGAAAAATCGAAGACTATGATCGTACATAATATTCATAATCTCAATAATAATTGTATTATAATCATACACATGATCATAATAGTACATGATACATTTCCATTTTCATCATCCAGTTCATTGGCCAACCAACACATTCTCCACAAGGCTGAATGGAATTATGAATTTGTTCCTGCTAATGGGATATAAAATATTTCCACAATATTTTATTGAATAAAGGTATACATTGAATTTGATTGTGCTACAGATTATATAATAACATCATTCAGTTGTCTCTTTGATTCAAAAAGATTCATACAGATTATAACAGAAATTTCTACATAGTTGTATTATTGGAAACAGAAGGTGTAATTTCTATGCTACGTAATTCAGAGTATTGGTTTGAATTCTTTTGATTTTGGTAATTTTCCTACGTTAAAATGGTTAAAAAAATGGTGATGTATACATATTGGTCTCAATTACACGAAATATAACGTATTGATTTAATCTGCAGACCTGATGATGATGAAGCCGAGTGTTTTATTTGTTATGTATTCAATATGTCTATTGAATCTAATACCTGAACTAAATATTTTCTGTCTTGATTACCACTTCAAGTATCTCTCTCTGTATATCTAATAGGGATAATCGTGACAAGACCTTTGTCTCTTGAATTATGCAATTTTACATTTAGAAATATTGATATTTCACTATCAGTACACCGAAGTGAGTTAAATTCATACTGGACCATATTTAATACTTACTCATTTATATACTTATTTGTAATAAATATGCTTTCGGCTAATGAATATTTTTTAATTAATTTCTTTAAAAAATCTCTAAAAAATTATGTATATAAATGTGTTAAAGTTTTGTGCATAATTCCAGATATGTGACGTACTCAGGGTCCTTGCCAAATCATGCGTTAGCAGCTGTGCGAATTCTGCTGGCTGTTTCATGGACTCCCTCTGCCCAGACTCATTTGCTTAGTCTGTTTACTTCATCTCCAGAACTCACTATGGAAATCAGACACGGATTTGTAGAATGTTTGGAGGCTGATGAAGACGAAGAGGTAATATTGTAATATTTATTTATCACCTTTGTAGTTTTTCTTATTTTTGTATTGAGATGAGTGGGTAATATGTGAATTGTCACAGAATTACATAAAAGTTTTTTTAATGTTTTGAAATGTGTGTGTAAATGTGCTTGGATTGATTTATAGTGTATTGTGTGTAAGAGTATAATTTATTATTAGTGATTAACACTAAGCTAGCTGCTGATACAACCTGCAGTGATATGAACTTGAGTGAACTTCAGATAACCAAATTCTTTTTCTTCTCTTTGTATTCTCATTTTTCTTTTTCACTTCACCACCTTCTCTTTTTTCACTTCTCATTTTTTTCATTATTCTCCTTTTTATGAAAATTCGTTTGTGAGTAATGTGAGTATCACTTCACTTTTAATTTCTTCTATAAATTCTAGTGTACACGTGTTATCTATGATAAATTATACAGCAGGTCGTGCAAAGTGTGCAGATCCTCCAAGCAACTTTGTAAAACTATGATGTTCATTTTATTACTTGTAGGTTAATGCAAGAAAATAAAATGATTTCTAACCGCTTCATTAAAGAATTAAACCAGTTTGTATGAACATTATTTGTGAAAAGTCAAAATGAAGACCATGGGAAATGCAAATACCCATGTGAAGTGTTATAAATACTTCCAATGCGACTGAGGGTTATTTTTCTTTAATAATTATCACTTTCAAGCAGCACTACTCTGATTATTAGTCCTCTGAATCTTCATAAATAGATAATTGTAATAATAAAAATAAAATACATGGTTTTATTTTCATTTTATTCTATTTGCATTAATTATGATGAGCTGTGCCTTCCGCTAACCACAGAACATATACGATTCTGACCGTTTAGCCTGCTGTAGGCATGAGACTTGCAATTTAAAAAATAATAATTATATTTTCTGTTTTACGCAATGTATTAATTACATTTATTTTGTATTTTTCAAGGAGGAATTAGAAGCAGGGTCTGTACAGAGCAGCACAAAAGAAGCAATATTTAAACTGTTACAACAGTGTCTGCATTACTCGGCTCCAAATGTTAGTCATTACCTTTTCGGTTTTGATTTGAAAAAAGTCAACCGAACCGTATTCCAGCAGCCAGGTACATTTTTTTTACTCTTGGATACGTTGATGAATGGAAGTTTATAGATACATTATTTGCTTTTTTGCGTTATGATGAACTACAATGCACTGTGTTATTTTGTTTTAAATGTTAAATTTTACAGGTGTACTTGGTTTCCCCCGTACTTGCCTCCATTCCCTGCTCTCCATTCTGGACAAGTCTTTGGGTGACCGAATGAAACCCTATGCTGCTCTTCCCAGGGGACAACTACTGGAGAGCTGTTACTGCATGCTTTATCTTCTATGTTCAGATGTAAAGACCTCGGGCCCTGTTCTGCGATTTTTGCGTTCGTGCGGAGACTTCTTGTGTCGGCATCTAGCTCATTTGCCTTTCCAAAGTGATAATCAGAGTAAGTCTTCCTCATTAATATTTGAATTCCTGGAAGTGTAAATCCACTCTTTTTAATTGTTCTTGAATCTTGATTTGTATGGGGGTTAGAGAAAAAATATGGTTAGAGATCAATTTATCATTGCTACAGTTTTCCCTTTTTACTGATCCACAAAAGTGATACATGTAATCTTGTAGATTATATGTGAATTATTATAGGTCAGTGTAATTGCCATTTAATATTTTTCTGCTGTTAAATTGGACATTATTGTCCATGAAATAAAATAAAGAAAAATAAATTCATTTGTTATCGAGCATTTCTGTTTGTGGATTTGATGGATGAAAAAGGACACTTATGTATTTACCTTAAAGAAAAGTGTTCTATTACTTGTGCAAACTTTGTGATTATTCATTGTTAAACTAAAATTTTGCCCCTGAACTGTTACAATGAATTTTCATTTTGCAGCTTCAGATCTTGTGCAAATGTCATGGCTGCTAAAAGTAGTTGCAGTGGAGCTGAAAGCTACTGCACGCAATGATCAGATGTCCAGTTTGGCAAACCTTGTGAATCTGTTGACTCGTGAGCAAGGAGATATTCTTGAGGATCCAGAAAATCGTGAGACATTCCCAGAAGACAAAGAAGAAAATTTGAGTCGCTTCTTGTCTCGGAAACGAAATTTCGGTAAGTTAAAATTATTTTAGGCCTTGGGAACAATCATTTATAAGGATTTCTTCTCTTGTAAATATACCTATTCGTGTGTATATAATTGTTACTGCTAGAAGAAAAAAATTGGTAAAGAACACGATAGCATTGTGTGCTGATGTGATAGATTATAGTTTCTTTAAGAAGTTTATCTTTATTTTTGAGAGGAATAAGTTTTACAAAGTACACTATGGTGTATGTTGTATAATTCAAATATAACCCTATTTATGATTTCTTTTTTATCAACAGATCCTACAAAGGCAAAAAAGTTAAGAGTCCTTTTGGCCCTACTGAATCAGTTGGATTTCCATGTTGCTTCCATTCCTCAGCCAGAATGGGAGTTCTTTGTTCCCAAACAACTTGCAGAGGTATTGTTGCATTTTCTTACTGAAATTCAGAATTTAAGAAAATAGAGCAATGTTGCTACTTGCTATCACAATGTTACTAAGAAGCTTTATACCAGCAGATGTATTTTGAGTCACAAATTATCGTGTGTCAGTATCTTTGAACTTGGGATGTTGAGTCATCTTTTGTAAACAACACTATTATATGTAATCTTCCTCTGCTTGGTTAGTTGCAAGTAGATGAATAATGAACATACATTTGTGATGATGTGCAAGAAACGAGTTGACAGTTCTAATAAAATGACTTAGTGATTGTTGCAATCCTGTCCATAATTCCCATACATTTTTCATCACTCAGAAGAAAAGAAAAAAAAAATCATGTTCAATTTTTGAACAGTGTTTATTAGACATAGTATACATTATACATTAGAAATGTATTCATTATAGTATACATTAGAAATGTATACATTTAATACTTATCCATTAATTAAAAAAATAATTTTCACTATTTTGAATATAGATATTCTAAAGAGATTTTTCTCTTTCAAAATACTTTTCAATTTGTAAAATCAATTTACTATGTAGACATTTTTTGGGCAAGTTAAGTATACAGACTGTCTAGCCTATTTCACAGCTACAGCCTTAATATATAATACTAAAAGGATATATTTACCCAGATATGACAATCCTTTAATTTTGAAGAGCCTTCCTGAAAATTTTTTAAATTTTAACTACTTTTTAGAATTTAGTCTAAATAAAATTTCAAATTATATTGATGAGTATAATGAAATTAATTGCCTGATCTATCACTATTTTGGTTCCTTTGTATAAACATAATCACGGGTTCTGTCATTCCCTTCTTCTTTACGTACATCATGATTCTTTCTTTTTGGTCATCCCGTAAGGTGACATCTTCCAACTTTTTAGGACCAAAATGATGATTTTTATTCATTTTCACTTTACACACACATTTGTTTGAGATTCTTTGTTTTCCAGCTGATTAAAACTATTGGCCTGAATCGTTCAGCAAATATGACATGGTTGCAAGAATACATTCACTAATATATTTTTGTTGTAATCGAGTATCAATGTATTAGAGACTAGCGATGATGTTTAGGTTAGCATATCAGAGTATTATACCCAAGTTCATGGGTTCAAACCCAATCAAAGCTGTGAATTTTGAAGGGGCAAAAAAATCTTTCATATCAATCTCTCTTGGAAGGCGAAGTAAAGCCGGCTGTCCTATGTTAGTTGAATTATTGTATGTAAAAGATCCTCAAGCTTAAAATGCTTCTGAGCTAAATTCAAATCGCCTGTTTTGTCACCCCAAAAATACCTCCTTTCTCCGCTAGTTGGTGAAAGAAGCTTAGACAAATTTGCGTGGTCAGACGGAAGAGTAGTCCTCATGACCTCGAATGAGGTTTGAATTCAATTCAGTTCAATTCATAGAGACACGTGATATTTTAATCATCTTCGCAGTTATGCTGAATGTTGTTACATCAACATTCATGAGGTCTATGATGTAGCAAGACAAAGTAAAAATATTACAGCTAGACTTCATTTGCAATTTTAAGATGATTCCATATTTTTCGAAAGTATGGTATAGTAAATATGGTATATATTAATTACACAGTTCTTAAACTTCGCTCTCAAATTTTGCATACCGTTTTGAGGACAACGTAAAAGATGGGTTCGTGATACCAAAATGTTACCTGAATTTTGTTACATCATGAAATTTGTTTCATGATGTGTTTTGTGATGTGAAATTTGTTTCGTGAATTCGGTGTGTCGGGCATTGTTGTGCGGCAGGGCATAAGGGTGGAACATAAATGAAAACCCTGGAATCAACAATATTCTTAGGTACATAGTTTTTGGTTGATAAGTGTTTTCTCTTACTTTCATGAAGTTGATGAATATTTGTGTCTGTATGTTGCAGTTGAGTGCCAAGTGTGAGGTGAGTGGAACGAGAGGGCAATCTATCCAGTTGGTGGATGTGAAGAAGCTGCACAAAATGATGCTGGAGGAACTTGCTGTCATTCAGAGCAGCACTTCTGCTGCCCAGCGCTCCCTGGTGCTTGCTGAGATAGAGGTGAGTGCTAAGACTAATAGATCTTTATGACTGATAGTGAAAGTAGGATTTGTGAGAAATCTGGGTGATACTCACATGAGCAAAGGGAAAGGCAGACTCATGTGCGCAGAATCAACACAGATGATTGATTTGAGTTTCAATATTTCCTTGAAATACGCTGAATTTTTGCATTGTTGGTGAACGATATGTAAAGCCACACGTATTTTTTTATCCCATAGTTTTCCAAAATTCCAAAATGGGTAGTTACATTTGAGTTCTGTGTAGCAATGAAATTAAAAAACCTGAATACTGAATGCAATACAAAGATTCCATGGGCTCCACTTTGAGAATGTAAGCGTTCTCACTTATTGGTCAACTCTCTTGTTATCATTTGGACATTATACAGTCTTAAAAGGACTTTTGTTATGAATGTATAAAAGTAAAGAGCATATGTGAAATACTTTAGCGTGGTAAGTATATGAATTTACTGGGACTTGCAAAAAACAACGTATAAAAGTGAAAACTTAAGTGCAATCAGGGAAAAATCAGGGAATTTGTAGAGGAATCATCGGAAAACAAGATATTATTCCTCAAAAACAGTACAGCATTATATTTTGCTCAAATTTTGCTCATTTTGCTTTTTGTTTGTTGAGGAAACATTTTTAATTTGTACTTCGTGATTGCGAAATAAAAGAACTGAGCAATTAGTATTATTGTAGTTTTGATATTTTCTTTTAAGTAATGCGAAGTTACAAACCTTCTCAGAAAAATGTATCAATGAATAAATAAATTAATAAATGAAAGAATGAATAATAAATAATAAATAAAAATGCACTAGAAAACTGGGAAAAGTCAGGGAAATTTGTTCCAGGAAATGAGTGGCACCCTGTTCTAAATATTTATTTCAATTTCCTTGTGTCAGAGTTTTGAGTTCTTGAAGAAAGTTTAAATGTATGAGTTACTTTAAAATAAAATTATGATTTTTGATAATCTCTTTTTTTGTGCCAAAGATATGTTTTTGGAACATGCAAAGAAACCAAGTGTTCAAGGGCAAATTAACATTTAAGCATTGCTAGCTATGTGGCTTTTCCTGCAGGCATGGTCAACTTGTTCATGTTTTCTCTTACTGTCACAATTGTGGAAGTGGGCATTCAAGCAACATTTAGATAGATTGTTTTGTTTCTTTTTTGAACAGAAAGTGCTCAAGTTCACCATTCAACAGAACAGCCAACGAGCGCGTTGCCATGCCACTGTTTGCTACATGGATGCTTGGCGACAAGTTACAGAAATTTTGTTTTGTGTTTGTCCACGACGAGTGCTTCCAGAAGACGTGCGATTGGGTTTGCTTGTGGATTGTCTTCATGTCTTGTTGAAGAAGGTAAGATTCACAATTTGTGTGTCTAAACTAAATCATTATTTTGAAAATTGAAATTATTTTTTACTGAAACAAGACTTGAAATATTTCTGACAGTCTCTGCTGCAGCTTGAAGGTACCCTCTAAAAATATTATAGAGGGACCAAAAATGTTTAATTTTGTAAATTATGGAATAAAAAGCATTACTTGTATTAAATCTGGGTCTTTAAAACTGGTTTTAAAGGTTTAGGATGAATTGTGAAAATGTGTGTTGCAGGTTTGATGTGGTTCTTACTGACATTTGTATTATGAACCCTGGGATGTATCTCCTTATCCACTGGTAGCATACTTTGTCTTAGTGTTAATTGTACTAATCCATCAACTTACCATAGCATAGAGGATCAAGATAATAGCTTTTAAAGGTTTTAAATTATATGTAGAAATTAGAATAGAAAGAAATAGAAATTTAATGGAAATCCTGTAGAAATTTAATAATAGGAATATATTTGTGAATTACTATATTTTGATTTTTCTATAATGGCTGATAAAATTAGGTCATTGTTACATCTCCTTCCTTATAAAATGAATATTTTTAATTAATTTGCGAACGTCCTTCTCAAAGGGGCTCATGGACTCGCAATGTGCTTACCTCTGTCAACAAGATTCATTTTATAAGGCAATGACCAATCGTCGACCACTATAGAAAAATCAGAATATAAAGTCACATTAATCTGCCACACCACCTCAGTTTAGAAAATATGAATGAAAAATTTGTAATAAAACTACTCTCGTGTACATTACATGTATGTACGTCAAATGTACATTGGACATTAATCGTTATGTTAATAAATACATAAAATATTCTTCTTATAATTTACAGGTTCTATCTCATCAGGTTATACCAAATTTGGCAGCATTGTCATCGGGTGTGATTCTTCTTCTGTCAGTTGCTTTACACCACTGCCTTGTTGCATGTCAGGAACAAGAGTTAGCTACAGTTTTGGCAAATTCAGCAATTTCTGGGACCTCTACTCTAAGTGCTCCCATTGCTTCAAATCTTGCTGTACCCGGTCGACCTGGAATTTTTGATATTGTTCTCTCTAATATTCTTGAGTGGATTATTAACTCAGGTACATACTCTCATTTTTTCAACAGAAAGTTTTATCTTATTATACCTTTGCTGCAAGCTCTTTTCAAAATTTGAAGTATTTGAATGTATTTACTAGGTTAAAATCTTTATTCAACTAGGTAGAAAACTTAAGTGCAGTTATAAAGAAAATGTTTTGCAAGTGGAAAAATATGTACACTTGAAATGGGGCTAAAACATGTGAAATGTTATGCCATGAATCATTACTTTATGATTTTCAGTTGTGTGGTATTTGATGCTTCAGAGATAATATCAGAATGGAGGTTATTTCTTTCCCTTATTTTCTTCTTATTCAAAGTTATATGGGGAACATTTCTGCTGTTTTGCATTATTGTCACTGAGGGATTTGGATTACAGGTGTGGCATCCCAAAAGTTACGCAGTAATCTGTATGGTGCATTGCTGATGTTTGTGCGAATGACTTGCCGTGATCCCTACCAACGGCGCCGTGAGGAGCAGTCTCTGGCATACCAGTCAGGTTTGGGCAACTCCACATTTGTCAGTCGCCTTGATGCATCAGAAATACGTGCTGCTCCTGCAGACACCTCTTTGAGGCGACAGGCGTGTTTGGAAATCATCATGGGCTTTGGGGAAGGACTTATTGATGTCCTGTGCCATGACTGCACAGGTGGTCATGATGTATGCAAGGTACGATTATGTTATAATTAAATTTCCTGAATTTTCAGGGAACTCAATTTCTGAAATGACGGACGACAGTAACATATCAAGAGTTCTGATGTATTCCTTTATTGACATGATAGTTGAAAATAATTGAAGTTGAAATTAAGAATACTTCAATCTTTGACATTTGCATACCTGAATTTTGTTACACAAAATGTGATATGATGCAGTAGCTTTCTCATTTATATTGTGTGCAAACATTCTCATGATTTCACCAAGCCTTAAATGTGAATAATGTAACATATTTGTTTTACTTGCAGATGCTCGCACTATCATGTTTGGGTTTGCTGATTGAGTTTGACCCTCATACAAGCTGGATATCTCATCTGAGTTCCCGTGGTTATCTTCGACACATTGTGGATAGCCTTTTGGAGTCTGATGGCAAACTCACAGCCATGCTTGGAGTCAACCCGCACACGCTGAGCCCTCTTTATGTGTATGAGTCGAAAATGGTAATTGTTTGTTTGGGTTGTTGCTAGTTAAATTGTATGTCATATATCAGATTTAGGAAAATAAAATACTGAAGCTATGATTGAGTGATGCTTGTAACATTCCTCAACTTCGGATTTTAGGGCAAATGTTAGATGCAGCTTTAGGGCAGATGTTGTTAAATTAAATATGAAGAATATCCAGAAAGTAAGAATACAAGGGCTGTATAGGTCATTGGGTAATATTTTTTTCAAAGTTGGCACCCATATCGTATAGACGGTTTCTTAACGGTCATAATGAGACATTGTGTGCCTCAGTTCGTTACAAAATGTCATCACAGCAACTTATCACCTGTCATCCAGTTTATCACCTATTTACTCCACATACAGCAGATGAGAGTTTCACTCAGTGATTTGTTTCCTTATCATTGCGCAACAAGTCAGTGGCCAGTATCCATTGCCAGGTTGTGGAAACCTATGGATCCAAGGTAATGAGTTGTCAGAATATTACCAATTGGGTAACATTGAAGCAGTATCTCCATACACATTCACCAATACAAAAAAATCAACATTCACAGGGAAGAATCATGGCTTCTGTCTTTTGGGACTGGAACAGGATCATTTTGGTTGATTTCATGCCCTAAGGGACCACCATTAATGCTGATGCGTATTGTGAGACCTTAAAGGAATTGAAAAATAGAAGATAAAAGAAGAGGGATGCTGGCAACCCCATACCACCCGGTTTATTCAGGACCTACTCACATCATTTGCATGGCACATTGTGGCTCACCCACCCTACTCCCTGGACCTTCTACCGTCAGATTACCATCTTGTCACCAAACTGAAGGAGGTCTTGAATAGATAGTGATTTTCTAATCTATCACAAGGGTATGCAAAAGTTGGCATTCAAAAGTGCATGGCCTTGATGATCGGCAATTATGTGAAGAAATTATAACATATTTTGGCACTTATCCTATAAATTTCATTAAAATATATTCTTTTTTTGAATTTTACAAGTGTTGTATTCTTACTTTCTGAATGTCCTTCGTAAGAACACATTTTATGATTTGGTGATGTCAAGGAACCACAAGGATCCTAAAATGCCCATCCCTGCTGTTAAAGCCATAGAAGGCATAAAAAGCTCAGCATAAAAAGAATAAGCCATAGTTTGTGCTATGGAATTGGAAGCTTCAGGGTCATGCCAAGTGAGTACAATGTTGCCTCCCAAGCCGATGTTACTTTATCTCAAGGTCAACACTTCCCGTTTGATACTGATAGCATTATTTGGGAAAACTTGATGATAGTCCTCAAAGCATGCTGATTTTACAGCTGGCATGATATGATTTATCAGAATTAAATTTTTAGCAGGTAGCATTTGGCATAGAATATGTTGGATTTGATAAGTACTCAGATATAAAGGCTCTATATATCAATTTTAAAATATAATTTTCATAAAATGGTGTTTTAAAGAGTCTAAAAGAATTACTTATGTATTGTAATAAGATAAATACAGAAACATTTATTACGAGAAGAGTAATTCACCCGAAGATATAGACATCTCACTCATCACAGGGTCAGAATAAGAACTGCTATCAACTGCTCAGTGAAGCGTATGACAATTGCTTTAATAGCTTCATTATGGAACATTGCCTCCACTTCAAAGTTTCAAGTGCCTCCTTTAACATTTATTTGTTTATCTGCTCGAACTCTTTGGTGCGTCTTTTTGTGACAATTCTCTCAACTCGGTCAGTGGTGGGGATAATGCCCGCACAGATTGTCGCCGAGAACACTGTTCTCCTGTGGGCCCCTCCTGCAGAAATGCCTCATGGCGAGGGGTGAAGAGGAGAGCAAGGTGCCAAATGGTGTTGAGGCTTGCATTTTCATGACGCAAACTATAGAAGCATTCCTTGGCAGAAAAACCAGCTAAAGCTGGACTTTGTAATCTCCTTGACCACCCTCAGTATCAAAAGATGAGAGAATTCTGGTACTCTCTATTATTTCAGCATTGTAATACGCACCAGTCACAACTGTTAACAGGAGAAATATTTTCTGGGAGTAAAATGATTGGAATAGTCTTTGCTGTTTTATTTTTTCATTTCTGTCTTTTTTCTCATATTTGAAGTGTTCAGGTGGACATAATGATTACTGACATTTTATGTTTCTCAGGAAATTGCAATGTGATGTAAGCCATAATATATAGTGCGATTTTTATAAGAATGGGATGTTTTGACAGCTGGTGCTGGCAACACAACTGGAGATTCTGCGGTCGTTGTGTCCTTGAGTCTATTAGACTCTCCTTCATCCATTCTTTCGTTTCCAGTTGGCTAACTTGAAAATGGCTTTGACACTTCCTTTTGTGATGTCCTCATCTCACAAATGTAGTGCGTCACAAGAAATAATTGAAATAAGGAAGTGCAGTGATATGTGCTCTTCTGTAAAACTTTTTTTTTATAAACATTGCATTGAATTTAGTTTGTATGATAAGTATTATGTTTATTTTAAAACCGACTCTTGAATGTGAGATGATTAATGGTGGCGGTGCAGGTGTTTCCAGCTCCTGTGTTGTAAGGTGAAGAGCTGTGTGGGAGAGCATTTCGTGGTTCAATGCTTTGCTTTTTATATATGTATATGCTTTGCGTTTTATATATGTTTTATATAATTGTGACACAGTTGTGAACCATGAAAAGTCTGAATGGGCGCAAAGGGCATCTTCCTTGTACATGATTAAGGGATGCATCAACATGCAGAACATTAGTGACATATAAAACAATTATTAAGATACATTTTAGTTATGAGAGCATAGTACTAAATATTGATAGTCAGGGTATTATAATTATAAATAAATCATCCTCTTCACTACAAAAATGCATGAGCCATTCACAGTGAAAAGACCAGAAAAGGTGTTTAAACATTTTCTTTAACATTTTAAGCAGTTTTCTTTCCCTGAATATGAGAGCATGTTCAAACAGTTTATTACATACGTAATTAAATTTCAATATTTCTCGGACTCGTGTATGTGCATATACCTCAGTGGAACTTTTAGATTTCTGTATGATGTTGTCTTCACGAGAGCCATAAACACTACGAAGGGGCGTGTCTGAACAGCTGCTGTGGTAGAGGGATACTTCTCTTAATTATACATGATGTTCACTTTTTCACCAAACTGCCACTGCTCATTCTTTTAAAAATAGCTCTATACAAGAAAATTGCGATTTGTATTGTATGCTGTTTATTGCTCTTCTTAAAAGAATCACTTAGAATATACTCAGTCAGAGCTACTCTCCCTCCTTTGTTAAGGCCAATAATTTTCATTGTGTTCAAAATGTCTGAGAGCATTATTTACATCCGAACACATCATTTTTCCCTCATGTTTATCATTAAGTAGTTTTGAAGTAAAATAATATGTATGCCAAAGAGTTACTTTCATTTGAACTAATGCGTCTTATTTAATAAATTAAACAGGTTGAATTTGTTTTTAAAGCTCCTATTTTAGTTGCCCAAATGAAAAGATTTTAAAACTTGAATATCTAAAATCTAGGTGTAGCATATCTTCTCTGTGTAGTATTTTGATATGCTAAAAGAAATCAATTTGTGTATGTTTTCAGGCCATGCTTTGCCGTGTTGCTGCATCCCACACTGGGGCGGAGCTTCTTCTGGAGTTGGGCGCATTTGGATGTCTTGCCAATATGTCTGTATTTGATAAGCATCCAGATTTCAAACCAAAGTGAGTAGAAAGAATGTAGTTAAGAAATGATTCCTGAAATTGATCTCTTAAACTTTTTAATTACAAATAAAGGTTTCTTCAAAATATATTTTCTTCGAGATCCCCTACAGGTGATTCTAATATTCGCAGATCAAGTAAATTTAAATGCTTGTCACTTATTAGATAACTAAATTACTCGTTTCTACTTTAATGATTTAAAACGTTCTCTTTCAGTTTGGTTGTATCAGACCTTAGCTTTGTTCCTACTGCTCGGAGTCGTTACCAGCAAATCTTGTTCCCAGCGTTGGACCTTTGTAATGCCGTTTTGACCACTTTGGGTCCTGATAACCAGGCGTGTTGTGTCCAGGTATTCTTTTCTCTCTTCTTCTTAATCTATGTAAGATTCTTATAAAAAATTGTTAGTGATTTACATAGGAGATTTGTAAATTTAGTATGTATGCATTGTCACCTAGTGAATTTGTCAGGAAGAATGTTTCTTTTTAAAATACTTTGGTGGTATTAGTTGTTATGTTATTAATAATGTTATTCTCCTTATGGGATTCAACATTTTTGGTCCCTTGAGAAATGTTATAACATTAAGCATGAGAAGTTAATTTTAAACTTTGAAATAAAAATACTTGTTTCTCTCAATCAAGATTGAATACATGTGTGTGATGTGTGTCTTTTTAGATCCAACTCTTCCTATTCAGCCATTATGAGATGCTTAGCATCATTCTTCGGTGTGTGAGTCCATTAATGCAAGTGAAGTTCCTGAAAGAGCTGGCGCATATCACTGGCATTATTGCCCGAGTGTCTCATCACGGTAAGCATCTATTGCTCTTTTATTACTACATTGTTTCTTTTTGATATACTGGCAAGTTTCTATGGGTTTGAGTCGCAAGGTACAATATAAGAATTTAATTTTTTATTCCACCTGTTGGAAAGTGTCAAGCAATTTTTATAATATTTGTTTATGGATTTTATATATAGATGAATAGACAGGACCATTCTGATAATGTTCACGATAAAACAAAGATACGCACGAGAAAGAAATGTAAAATTGCAATATGGTAAGTAGAGGAGAAAACGGTAAAAGAAGAAGGAAAGTGTGTCTGAGAAATTGTCAAAATGGGGAATTTTTTCCTTTGTCAATGCTTTCTGGGTAAATTGGTTGTTTTTAAATTTCCTTTGTGACTATGAAAAATTCAAATTGATATTTTCATGCATTATCAAAACTAGATACAAAATTTCCTATTCTAATCACAAAGTTTTAGGAATAATATAATAAGAAATTGTAATCATGCGTAGCAACCGTCGAAGGAGTGTTGGAGATATGTGAAATTTCATCATAATCATTAAGGTTTTAGATGTGTATGGCCTGTCCCTCTAACCTGTAGTCTCCTTATTCTCTAAGATGTTTAATTTTTATACAAAGTATTCTACATTCTCATTATCTCTTTGGATCGTATGTCGGTATTTGTTTCACTTATTTGTTTCTCTTCATTGTCTCATTTTGGTTTTGCAATTTTCTTTTGTAGGTTTCCACTGTTTCATCTATTTACAGTAAAACCATCTTTTACACTTTTCAGGGAACCAATAAAAAAAGTGTAAAATGCAGGAAATTGTTAAATACAGGAAAGTTGAAAAACGATAGGCTAGGCGATTACTTTCATTTTCTATTGCATTGGTTACTCAGTTGTCACTTTCTCGCCCTTTGTAAGAAGAGAAAGTAAGAGCATACGCCGGAATTGGCGATCTTCTATTAACGTGTCCTGGAAATGAAAAAGTGGATAAATCATATTCCTGTATATAGTAAATTACTTCCTCTAACACGTGGTGTAGTCTGAATCCCTGTATTATGGGTCCTTGAAACTGCAAAATTGATTGACAGCTGTATTTCCAGCTGAAAATGTCTGTTTGCCCTTCTGTGGTGCGCATACACCGCCTGCCAATTTTCTCCAAAATTGACATTCTTTGATTGATCTGAACGAACATGAGGATTTTGTGAGTTCATTACATACATATATAGTAATTTACTACATATTAGACCACGATTTATCCGCTTTTTCTGTATCAGTTTGAGTTTTTCTGTCGAAAAATCGCCGTTTTTTACCGCAGCATTACATAACTTTCTCAGCACTAGGTATAAAATGAACGTATATGAGAAAGTAACAAGATAAAATAAAATAACTTTTAAAAAGAAGATTAAAAGGCGGGAAGCATTCTTCATATCAAGTTGTAAATTGTGGGAAGAGATTGTAAATATAGGCTTTTCAACGAAAAATTATGTAAAAGGCAGGAAAACGTAAAATGTGGGAACGTAAAAACAGGGTTTAACTGTTCTTTGTTTTCAAACTTTTACCAATGTTAGTGTTTCTAATTTTCTCTCTTCTAGTCATATTTGCTAATAGTCGTAAATATCTTCTTTTCCTGTCTTTGTCTAGTTCAGAACCCTTGCCTCCCTGCTATACGGTGTTGTTAGTTTAGATACTTTATTGTGTAATGTGAATTTTATTTCCATTGTCATATTTTTTAACTGTCTTTTGATGCAGTCGTTAATTTTGTTACATCTAGTCTGTTTCTTTTGAAAATCTTCATGTTCTGTGTTACCCAAGTTCGTGTTCTGAACAGGTAACAGTGCAACTGGTTACCTGTTCTATAATTTTATTTTATTTCATTATTTTTTGAACATTTTCTTGTAACCCTATTGATATTGTTTTTGCCCTTGATATTCTCATAATGTTCTCGTGTGCAATCTTAGATTATTTGAAAGGTACTCTTCGTAATTCATCTTCTATTTTTAATAAGGTTGCCTGGTCATCTAGTAGAGGATTATTGCTTCACTTGTTATTTCTTGAATTCCATGTTTATGCTGCCTGGATCAGGGCGATCTCTGTTTCTCAAAACTTTGAGAGCTCTGAGCAGGCCAGTTCCCTGCTTTGTTTGCTTCACCACCATTGGGCTTGGTGTTCTCAAGACTCACTGATTTCCTCCCTTCGACTCCTGGTTCCTCCCTCCCCTTGACTCTGCTGAGGCCTCTGTGGCCCACGGGCCCATTCTGGACATTCTTTGCGCACAGAATGAGTTGGAATATAAAACATACATTTTAAATATGTCATCTCAGAGGGATTAATGTTTTCTATGTTATTCATTTTCTTTCTACTGGAGAATGTGTTTTGAAAAAATATTGAAATGATATAAAAGGAAACTAATTATCTTGAAACAACAAATAGTGCCTTCACATTGTGAATAAATACTTATTAATGTAAGAATCTTTCCAGTTGTGGATGGCAACAGCGACTTTGAAGATGCCAGGATGAACACAAACTACGCAGCTCACGTTCAGAGCTGGATGCTGGAGTTGATGAGGCATTTCCGTCTGTCAGAAGGTGTTGTGCGTGAACTACGTGGATCACCTCCTTCACCAATTACAGGAAGCAGTTCAGAAAATCTTTCAGCTCAAAATGAGACGCAGCGAGAAGACTCAGTGTTGCAGTTCTTGCAGGTGGCTTGCAACTTGGTGCTTTTTGCACGCAATATTGTTGCGGGGAAGGGCCTGGACCGCAAAATTAGGACTCCTTTATTCACTCCACAACTGGAAGAATTTTTTAGCGAACCAGGGAAGAAAGGTGAACAGGAATTATTTTTGCTTTGTTATTCAGTAAACCCTTGTTATCAAGAATTCTAAAGAACAAAAATGATCGGTGTTTGTGTTATAAAAAAATGTGGTATCTGATTATTGTGTATATCTGCATTACTATGTTTCCGTGCCAGGTTAAAAATTTTGTTCAAGTTGCAACAAAATTCCTGTTAAATGAGTATGTGTTAACGAGGGTTTACTGTAATTCTGTGTAGGTAAGAATTAACTGCTAGTCTAAACTAAGAGTGACATATGTTTTGTAGAGTTTTTCACATGCTGATATTGAAATTCTTAAAAGTGCTGGTACTCTTAAAAGCGCTACAAAGAGTTTAGTTACTTCTAGAGGATAGTTGGTTGCAAATTTAAAATTATTTGAAACTTGAAATCTTTGGGTATCATACAGTGTTCATTAAACACCTATCTATTTTTCTTCTCGCCTTCACTACCTTTATTATTCTTCCCCAATGTAACTGAATAGACATCTGGGTCTTGGTAATAATTACAGGCTGGATTTTAATGAAGTGTCCTTTTTTTCCCCCTTTAGAATTATGTCTTTTAGTATAGACATTAATTTCATGTTATGACAAAAGGAAATGTCCCATTTTCATATGACATGCCCATTTTGACTAACAAGTAATTTTTAAAGTATTTTTTGCATATTTAATCGATTTTAATATCTTAATAGAATATGCTTCAAATAATATTTACAAAATGCACAAAATTCCTGAGCATCCTGTTTGATTTCTTTGCTCAGAAATTGTAAAGTCAGCTGTTCTGAATATATAATATCAGGTTCCTGAAATGCCTGTCAGCGACATTGGTCAATTTCACAAAGGGGAAGGTTTCCTGTCAAAAGTCCAAACCAAAAGTTTGCAAGCTTAGTTCACATGTACAAAAGAAGAAGTCTTGATTACATCAGTAACATATCCAACAGCTTAATTTGTTCATCTGAACTGTTTTTGATAAAATATTTTACGTCATTTTTGTTTGCTTTTAAGGCTGTTTTAAAACATTTTTAGAGTATTTTTTAGCAATGTTTTAGGTAATCAAAATCTGTTTAAATAACTGAATGTTGAGAAAGTTATAAAATTTGTATAAAAATTCCAACTGTCTATTAATACTGAAGGAAGAAAGCATCTGGGTAACAGCAGAAGTCGTCATGGGGAATCTGCAGTCCTGTGCCGAGATTAAGATCTTTCTGAAATATTCAATATATTTAGTGAATTGAATAAAATATATTCTGAATTTAAATTGAATGAAAGAGCCAAACCTCACTTATTTCAATTTCTTCAGAATCTGAAGAGCATAATTTTTGTGACAATGTGTTGATTTATCTGTTAACTAGTAATCGTTATAAGTTTGTTATCCATATGAATTTATCATTCTTACATTGATTTTGAGAGGAACACAAACCAAATTGTGGATGCTGTTTGTTTTGGGCTGGTAGGTCCCCTTTGTTAGTGTGAGGATATCTACCAGTCAGAGAATCAGGGAGGTCAAGAAAAATATTATTTGTAATGATTATGTACAGTTCAGTTAGCAGTATGTTCAGTTAATTTCCAAATGCTACTGAATTTTGGATTCCCTTTTTTCTCGTATGGTAGCAAACCTAAATGGTAGTTATTGAAACACGTCAGGGAATTTCATTTCTTTAAGTTGTTTTTAACAGCAGTGTTCTCTGGTTGTTAGCAGAAATGGAAGAGAAAGAAGTGGTGTGTCCTCCGTTGGGGCTGGTGGTGGAGCAGTTGGTGCAGTGTGTGGGTTACCACCAGCGCGAGAAGGCAAATCTTGATCTGCTGCAGCACAAAAAGATGTCTCTGGGGACTGTCAATTATTCCCTTGACATGTCAGAGGTGAGTCTAAATCTTCTGCATCTTCAACCCACTGTTTTCTGTTTTTTCCAGTCCTTTTTCTGTGTCTTTGTTTTGAAAATTACGAACACAGATGGAGGTTGTTTCCACATAGGAATAGAGTAGCATGTTGCTGAAGACCGAAAAAAAACTGGGGAGGGAGGACGAATGGCTATTGTTGTTTGTGCAGGTTCCTAAAGATACCAAAATGACAAATCACAACTTTTTTTCTTCTCTCCAAAATGCAGTCTCTACAAAAGAGAGAAGAATTTGAGAATTAAGAGTCATAACATACTGCATCTCCTGTTTTCATGATTTTCTAACAATATGTGATGGCGGTTTTTGTTTGCAGATTGTGTTGGACAATGGTCGAGAGCCTCTTCAATCTGAAGAAGGTCATGCATTGGCAGTCAGAGCTCTGGACGAGCAGATCGACCAAAAGAGGCTGGAACTCGCCCACTGTGCCTTCCTGGTTGATAACTGCCTCTATCTCATTTGGTGCCACCTTAGTTACTTTGCTGAAGAGGCATCTGGACGCAGAGAGAACATCGGTCTGCTCTCTTTCTCTAAACCAGGTTAGTGACGTAGTGATATGAATTAATAATTTTTTTCTTTTTTTCCTTTTTTTTTTTCCTTTTTTTCTTTTTTTTTCTTTCAATGTCTGGAACTGTATGTTTTCTTACATAGACATTTTGATATTAGTTAATAAGTTATTTTTTAAGAAATAAGCTTGTTCTTGGTACATGAACAAGTTACAATTATGGAAAATTAAAATAAGTTACCAGATAATTAAGTAATAAAATAGAAATGGAAATTTATTATTACTATACATGTTATATACAGTCAATTTTGATTGAAATATTGATTAACATTTGGCTGTATTGATCAAATTAATTAAGTACATAGTTATATTCAGTGAGATATTATTATAATGAGCCTGTTGCAATCCCTTAAGTGCTAGGGCCTCCCAGTGAAATAAATACATTATAAAAAAGGTATGTATAATGAGAGACAGTACTGATGTTGTCTTTGTCATTATTAACAAGCTAAATTAATGTTAAATAGTAATTAAACAATGTAAACAAACATATTTATTTCCTTAATGTAAGACAAACCCCTAATTTTGTAAAGGTCTGAGAATATTTTAAATTTGCAACATATTCTAACTATTTAGTCCAAATAAAATTTGCAAATTGTCTACGTTGTCTCGAAAAATGTCTTTTTGATGAGCTATTACTATTTTCTTGTTCCTTAAAATTGTCGTAATCATGCTTTTTGTCACTACCTGCTTTATCTGCAATGAATCAGTGATTCTTTTTGATTCTCCTCCCATACTGTGCTGCCCACTGATTTTTAGGCGAAAGATTTGTGTTTTCAATTTGCATCTGACATGAGAAAAACTATTCAACCCTTTCTTCAGCATGTGTAGTCACAAGATGTAGACAAGAAAAAGTGACTTGTGCTGTGTGTTGATTGCCGTGAATTTTCCTATTTAAAAACTCGAAAATCCAACAATAAACTGGAAATCCAACAAAATCCAACTTATTTCATGACAAATTTTCAAAATATAAATTTCCACAGGAATCAAACAGTCAGGAAATATTATCCAACTCCACAATATGTTTTTACAATCGAAGAAATCCGATTTTTTTAGAGAACTGTTCATTCTTAATGTACGTATTATGTGTAAATTTGAATATTGAAGGAGTTTTTGAGCCTATTTTCAACTATAATGCTTATTTTTAAATTTTAAGTGCCAGTTTTTAACTTTTCTGGTGCATACATGTTCGAGCTCTACTTATGACTTGCTGTAGCACATGCTGTAATACATCACATGTAGGAAGCATTACATTAAGTCCACAATTGAGCCAAAAAAGAGAAAATGCTGAACTGTAATATCTCTCCAATAGTGTAAAAACAATAATACATTATGTTAATTATTTAATTTACATATATTATTCATTTACTTAGAATATTTACTGTATTGTAAACACATGAATATTAAATGTTGTGTGTGGCATGTTAATGATATTTCGCATATTTATGCTTCTTTGTCTTGTTATTACATTGTAGTAACTTAATTTTTAAGTAGAGCTTCTGCTGTCAGATTTTTATTTACAAAATAAAAGCAATTGTCCAGCAGGTATTTGTGAGCCTTAATTTTAAAGCATCTTGCATCTTCAATATATATACCAATATACCCACACTCTTCAACATATATACCAATGACCAGCCCATCAGCCAGAACTGCCGTTCCTTTATTTACTCCAACGACCTTGCTCTGTCATCACAGTCAGACAATTTTGCAATGGTAGAAAAAACCTCAATGAAGCTTTAAACCACCTTTCTTGCTATTATAAAGAAAATGATCTTAAGCCGAACCCGGCTAAAACTGAAGGATTCCACCTTCACAACAAGGAAGCTTCAAGGAAACTCCAAGTATGGTGGTGCGTCGAACTCCTCGCACACAACCACAAGACCCGGTATCTTGGAGTTATTCTCGAGAGGAGCCTTACATACAAGAGACACTGTACTAACACCAAAATGAAAGTTGAAACCTTCAACAATATCCTCAGAAGATTAGATCTAACAGGGAGCTGACCCCAGAGTCCTCCACCTATCCGCTCTCACCCTCTGCTACTCTGCAGGTGAATACGCCTGCCCAGTTTGGTGTAAATTGCTCTCACCAAGAAGGTTGACACCGCCTTGTATCAATCCTGCCGCCATGTGACTGGCTGTCTCAAGCCCATACCCATTTCACAACTCTGTTCTTTTGGCCATTGCCCCTCCAAACATCCACTGGGAGAGATTTCCTGCAGAGCGGAAAGAAATCGACAGGTGAACGACAAACGCCGCCCTTTGCATGGTCAATCTCGCACCCACTGAAGGCTCCATTCCCACAAAAGTTTCCTTCAGACCAGTGCTCGTCTCCAGTAACCAGCCGAGTAGGAAAAGCTTGACCTGTGGATGGACGAATGCCGCCTATCAGGCCACCTCATAAATCCCTCCGAGTCCCTGCCTTGGGGTTCCAAACAACGGTGGACTCTATGGAGATCTCTAAACAAACTGCGTATGGGTGTTGGTAGATGTAAATACAACATGCAAAAATAGGGATTCTTGGCCCAGAATGACTCAGTGATGTGCTCCGGCTGTGCTGAAGAGATGATGGAACATCTACTTTCCTGCCCAGACTGCCCTAATGGTGTATCCAGAGATGACCTGGTCCTAGGAAACTAGAGAGCCTGGGCTCTCTCTACTACCTGCAAAACAGAATTTAGCTGTCATTGACTCGAAAGAAGAATCTTCAATATACTGAAGAATTTTGTAGATGTAAAGCTATATAGTCGGTTCTTGCTCATAAAGTTTGGTGTAATGATTTTACATACAATTTTAATTTATTTCTTGTGTGTAATTATGTATGAAATCAATCATTCATTTAATTTGCAGTGACACTTTCTCCGAAAGTCCCTATCAAAATATCGAAACAAGAGATCAGTGCCCTGAAGCAAGGATTAGTATCAACTTTCAATGATCGATTCAGCAAACAGTTAATGGAAACACAGCAGGTATGTTACTTAATTTAGATATTACTTGAGAAACTTGATAATATTTGAATAACTTCCATATTTGACTGAAAAATATTCTTCTTTGACATATCATGTTAAGGTCTTAAATGTTTCTTTCAAAATATCATCTTTGTTGTCATTATTATCTTGTATATTTTGGATTGATAATGACTATCCATTAGTCACAGATCCATTGTAGTCAGTAAAAAATAAAATTCTCCCGGGTGAAAAATATAATTTGAATTAGGAGAAATTAATATAACCTGACTATGTACTTATCTCAAAAGCTTTTTAAAACAATTCCATTCAGAAAGACATGCACTGCTTTTGCAACAAATATTTCAGTATCATTTTCTTTACATAAGACAAGTTTACTTTTCCATACCTAATATGCCTGAACTTTTCAAATTAGATCATATCAGATCAAAAATCATATTAGATCAAAAATGTGTTGTGTACATGTGGAAATAGTTTTATATGGAATGTGAAATGTTCTGAAAATGGTGAGTTTCACAGGTTTTGTGAAAAGCCTCACAGTGCAATTAGCATATGTTTTTAAACAGTCCAAAATATATAAAACAGTATGAGTCACATAACATAAATAACAGGGCATTCTTATTTATTACAGACAGTGCGCAAAGCTTTGAAAAAATGTATTATTTTTCACATGTTCTGGAACACAACATATTGCATATTATGAATATGCATCAACAGATGTGAACAAAATTCATATATTTATGTTTGAAATGAAAACAAATTTTGATGTTATTGTTTAGTATGAAAGTGTTAAAACTTAATTACACAATAATGAGAAGAAATTACAGAACTGTCTGTCTGGGTGTGTCTCACTCTTCCTCTGCCTCTCCATCTCTCTTTCTCTCCCCCTCCCTCCCTCCCTCTCCTATATTTTTTCTTTAGTTTCAAATTTTGTCTTCATTTAAAAATTTAATTGTATTGTATTTAGTACGAAAATTGAATTGAATTTTAATTTCTGTATTGTATTTAATATTTAGAAATACCTGTATTGTATGTTGTATGATTATGTACACATCCTGACTTGTCATACATGCCTTATGCTGTATTTATGTAACAGATATATTATGCCATTATTATTAATGCAGGTGGTGTTGATGATTATAATAATTATATTTTGCTTTTCCAGGAAAAGTCAGCCATCGACAAAGGGTTTGTGGAAGCACTTCTTCGCCGCATCAAGAGACTCATCCAATTCACTCGTGATTTAAAATCGTGATAGTGAGAATGTTAGTGAAGATAACAGAACTACACTGCCGTGAGGAGGATTGATACAAACATTCAATTTGCATGCATTTTTGGGATTTGAGAGGTTAATGCATTTTTGTGCTGTGAAAAGTTGTGGTTTGCTGTATTGCAGCCAGTGGTATTGTAAAGGCAGATGATTCCAGTTTGTTAGTAAAGGATGCATGTGATTTTAGTGAAAACTGTGGAGTGTTATGTAATGTTAAATTAATCATTGTACATTGATAAAATGAGGAAGTGAATGATTGATTTTTGCAAAAGTGTATATTTAATGTGTGTTGGCAAAGATGTATTTGTCTTGTTTTGTATTAAGTTGAAAATAATAATTATTGTTCCTTTGTAGTGATTTGGATAATTTTTCTTCCGATCTTCCTTTGGTATCTACAGTAGATCATTATGTACGTAATTCTTTTTAATTAGAGAGTAACTGGAGCTTGTGGAGATGGAGCTGGTATGGGCGCAGTTGTAGGTGAAAAATGTATAGTTTTAGAAACTTAAATGTATTGCAGACCTGCATCCCAGGTCGCTTTTCTACATCCCCTTTCCCCACCATTTCCTTGGAGAGTTGCCAACAATCTACCTGTGTGAAAACATGAAAAATATTTGGAATATGCCTACCATAGTGAACACGGGGCCGTGAAATGTTCCAAGAGCAGTAGTATTTCTAAGAAAAGAGATAATGTTCTTCAAAAGGATAATAATGTCTCTCAAGTGAGATGACAAAGACAAGAATCATTATCTGCAATCCTCCTCCTCGGGGTGCAAGTAGATGAGAATTTTCGTCCTTGGAATGCAATGTGTTAAGGAACATTTCAAATCTCTCAGGATTATTTAAGTACAGTTAAATATCATTGTATTAAACACTGACATAAAGAAAATTTTAGATTAATAAAATCATTTTCAGATCCCCATACACATATGGGTTGAATGTAAAATGATTTCACTGCAATGAAATTTGAACTTTCAATACAACAAATTGAAATTTCATATTTTTGTCTTGGTTTTTGTTTTCAAAATATATTTGAAATTTATCCTGTTTCCCAATCAATATTTTAAAAAATCTAACTATTCTACCTTAGTATCTATTTTCTGTACAGTAATGCAATTGGTCAAGCTTTGTGAGGCTTCTGATGCAAAAAGCAACGCTTGGTTGAGAGGAATGCAAAGTTCAGGAACTACGAATGTGATTTTCTTCAGAAGCCATTACTTGAAAATTCTGAAATGATCTGATATTTTTAATGAAATAATAGCTACTAAGTAATTTTTTTTGTGCCTTTTTATTTTCAAGTCAAATAGTAAGGTAGAATAAAGTGGCACATCCTTACAAATCCCATGGCCTAAGTACGTATCTCATGGAGGGCTGCAGTGATAGACAATTTCTCACATTGTAAATAAAAAGGAAATGTTTGTTCAAATGTTATAAGTACCTTACGTTTTCAATTTGACATGCTCTAAGTCTTGTGTTCTGGCCTGAAATTTGGCCAAATCAGGTTGCTGCTCCTTTTCCTTGGTCAGCATCATGCAAAACCACAGTCCTTTGGACATCAATGAACCCTTATTAATTGACACCTTACTTAGTGGTCCATTTAATCAACATATCTTTCACATCTCAATGTCAAAACATACTTGAGCATTCTCCACATGTGGAACTCAAAAGATTAGCTCTACTTTCCAAAGTCTGTTATCCATATAAATATTAATGTGTGAGTCATGGTTTGACACTTGCAGGAAGCGTGTTGTGCGCTGCTGGGTTAGAGCCTAGAATCCCAATTTGACACCTAGAATACCTGTTGTGAGCATTGATTTGGGGGTCTTGATTGTCTACCTCTATTTTGATTTACAACATCCCTTGGCAAAAATAATTTAGAGATGTGACAGAGACCCTGAGATAGAACAGTGCTCTGTAGAGTTGTATGCAGTTCCATGTTAAATGAAATGTGTTTTGCACACTTTACAATCTCCTATATACTGAATTGTTATCTGTGAAATTGGAAGTTAGAACCATTTCTTAGAAATTAAAAAAAAAATAAAAAAAAATAAAAAGAAAATGTTATGTTGTAGTGATAAGTCACAATTTCAACACAGTATAAGATAAAATATAAGAGCCAAATATATTTCCTTAGTTTGAAAATATTTAAGTAGAATGTAGATGATGTTTACGTTCCCTGGATTTTTAATCTCACTGGAGGCCAAAAACTGAAATGTCAGAATGCAAGATATTATAGAGTTTTAGATGGATTGTCATTGCTGATAATATTTAACTAGCAATGAGACACAGGTGTCACAAATTCTGACATGCTGGCCATGCAGCACTTAATTTTTAATTAAAAATGTCAGAAATTCATATTACTCATAATCAATCTTCTCAAAATTGAATGAATTTTACAAAATCGTTTGTATTCATTGGATTAAGCATTTGTTTAATGTAGTTTTCTGAATTTTGCCAGTCTTGATGGAGACAGAATTGCCTTTGTCATATTTGAATTGTGTTGACAATAAGTTTAATTTTTCTTCTTCGCATTAGTTATTTTCTATCTGTATTTACCCATTGCATGTTGATCTATTTTATAAGTTCAATTGAAGGCAAATTGCACTCGAGAAACTTAAAAAGGGTGTTGGACATGTGGAAAAATCCATGATTAATGTGGAAGGATTTGGTTCGTTTTTATTTTTATCAATGTACACAGCACTATACAAATCTACAGAAGTGGGAATAAATTCAAAAAATTCCTTATACTTATGGAACTGTGGTAATTAAGTTTAATTTGTAAGTAAAATAATTTGCGTTTCTATTTTAAGAGCTATCGTAATAATACTTGTAGGCATGTTTTGATGCTGAATGTGGAACTTTTATTCTAACTAGACAAACATGATGTACTATTGAAACTTCATGTCATCAGAAATATTTTTTGGTTACCTGTAAGAGTGGTTAAAAGAAATAGAAAAGGTTGTTATTCTCGATTATCTACAGATTGTGTTTTTGTTCACAGTTACCACATTTCACTCTCACGAAAGTACGTTAATGGATGAATAGATGTATGGTGTTAATTTATGGGTTGGCCAATTCTGTTGTGAGTGATTGAGAGGTATATAGTTCTAGGTTCAGGTTAGCCTAATGAATACCATCAATTCCAAAAATCAAAGTAGAAACGTAGTTCCCATATGGATAACAATGTGCCCCACTCCATGTACAGTCATGGACAAAAGTATTTGTCCAGAGCAAATGGTTGGTGAAATTAGCTGTATGCCAGTAAACAAGGGAATCAGGGACATGGGATTTGTAACAGAAATGAGAAGAATACATCAATACCTCCTGCCGATAGTACAAAAAGCAAGATATATTATCCACTATTCAAGAGAAATGCATAACATAACCATGAGGGGCATTCGTTTATGGACACAAGTATTCGTCCATTCCCTGAAAATTATAAAATTAACCATTCCATTTTGTCTCAGTGCTTTGTTTGCATACTCTTGCTGCGTACAATAGCTCTAAGCCTCTTAGGCATGAATTGCACCAATGTGCGTGTCACATTCGTGTCCAGCCTTTCTTTCTGTAGGACCTCTTTCAGTTGTTGTGTGTTCGTGATGTGGTGCTTGCGCAGTCTTTTCTTCAACTCGCTCCTCAAATGTTCAATAGGATTGACGTCCGGCGAATGCGGGGGTGTTTTCAAAGTGTGTGGCGTATTGTATAGTAGTCACAGACGCAAAACGTCCGCCGTATGCTTGGGGTCGTTGTCGTGCTGGAAATAAAAGTCACGTGCCATACTCGCTTGTCTGCGCTTTTCTGTAGATTGTCGCGTAGGATTTGCAGGTACTTGAATCTGACCATAGTTCCTTCTATGAAAACCAATTCCCCCACCCCTGCGGCCGACGTACAGCCCCAAACCACAACACTCCCCCGCCGTGCTTAACTGTGGTTCGAACATGTGGATGCAGTGCCGTATTTGGTTTGCGCCACACCCACATTTGCCCATCATTGCCATAGATGTTGAATTTACATTCATCTGAAAATAAAACCTTCGCCCAGAAGTCGGCATCCTTCTCCATGTATTCTTTCGCCTACAGTAGACATTTTGCTCTGTTCTGCTTGCTGGTGTAGGGCTTCTTCCGGGGTACCCGCGCATGGTATCCCACACGATTGAGAACTCGTCGGACAGTCCGTGCCGAAATCTATTGAAGTTATTGTTCACTGCGGTAGTGACTTTAGACGACGTTTTTTGGCTGTTTCTTCAAGGCCCGTACCACGTACCTCTCGCGCCGATAACTTCCGGGAGCGGTCGCTTCTTAACTTGCTGGTCAGCGTGGTCTGACCCTGAAATCTCCGTGCAATTCTTTTCACTGTGGAACAACTTCTTCCTACAATGTTTGCGATGTCAGCGAATGTTTTTCCTTCTTCGCGAAGTCGTAATATTCTTCTTCTTTCTTCCGCGGACGTTTCCGTTCCCTTCCTTCCCATTACGTATCACAGCTGTACTTACGCACTCTGACACTTCACGAGCAAACTTGCACGACTGCGGCTGCAGAACTGATAAGTCTGCCCGGAAATAGTCCGCAAACCACCGCCAACGTCAGGTCGACGAATACGTTTGTCGAGGCATTTCCTGCGACGCAACTGTAGTTTGTGGGATTTACGAGTAGTTACTCGCTATTTCTGGACACAACGTGCGTCGACACGTCACACGACATTTATTACTTCTTCTCGTGCTATGCTATCGTGTTTCCATGAACAGAACCTGCTCTCCGATCCGTATTTGAGTTTGCATAGTCCATGACTGTAGCTACTGACCTTGGAGGGGGGGTAGCCATATTTAAACCGGATAACATTGCTGTGGTTCGTTTGCAGAAGTTCCAGGAATCTGCAACCCAACAGAAAGACCTCGCGAATTCCATCGTTCTTCTGTCAAAACATTTTCTAAAACATATGACGAACGCAGCGCATTTCTTGAGTCGCAGTTGTTAGTACTCTTGAGAATCCTGCGTCATTTTTACTCATCAATTCACAAAAATCACCATCGGACAACGACTGTGAATGGTGGTGTAAGGCACTACACGTGGCAGGCTGTGAGAAGTAGTTGAGTTCCGCCCGCCGGGACGCACGAAATGGACGACGCGGCGGCGTACCCGACGGAGGGGCAGCCTCCCCCCGAGGCGTTTGCGTTCCGAGGCGAAGGGCAGGGCGCGGACGCTGGGATGGGCTTCCCCATGGAGGGGCAGCCCCCGCCCGACGCCTACGCCTTCCGCGGCGGCGTGCCCTACCCCATGGAGGGGCAGCCCCCGCCCGACGCCTACGCCTTTCAGGTACGGTCGGACTCAGGCGGGGGTTGGGCAAACGGGAGAGCAAAAGGAATGGCATTTAGGGTAGATATACATAAGTAAAAAGTATTAGGTTAGTTCAAAAGAATTAAAGTAAATCGTTTTGAAATAAAAGTTACTGAAACTTTATTAAATTGTGGAAGTGCTGATGCGGTGTTGTTGATATTTAGAGATGGTACATTTTAGCAACTGCTAAAACTGCGAAATGTTAACAGGCGCTGAAAAATTTAATAATTGTATGTTTGACGGTCGGTGCAGCATATTTCCGAAAGTTTTCAATCTGTGATAAATTGCGAAATCAACCGCAAAATGCGAAATCACGTACAAAGTGCGAAATGGTCGTGAATCTGTGATATAAATTAGCTAAATTGCATTTTCTGGTTCCCTTCGCGTTCGCTCTGTACCTAGGGATACGACATCGGCAACACATCGATGTTTGAAATCATTTAATTTGCATTTGAGAGTGTCCGTGTTTACTACCTTATAAATAAGATTTAACTGACAACTGACACAGTAAAAATACGAACAAATAAAAAAAATAGATTC